ACAAATCTCCCACTTTACAGATGGCATCAAGCACTCCTCCAGCATCTTTTCATTTGGTCTGCGTCTCACAAATGTTCTTCTTTGTGATCCGAACACCTCAAACTTCGATTTGTCTGTCCATAACACTTTTTTCCAATCTTCCTCTGTCCAGTGTCTGTGTTCTTTTGCACATCTTAATCTTTTCTTTTTATTGGCCAGTCTGAGATATGTCTTTTTCTTTGCAACTCTGCCTAGAAGGTCAGCATCCCGGAGTCGCCTCTTCACTGTTGACGTCGAGACTGGTGTTTTGCGGGTACTATTTAATGAAGCTGCCAGTTGAGGACCTGTGAGGCGTCTGTTTCTCAAACTAGACACTAATGTATTTGTCCTCTTGCTCAGTTGTGCACCGGGGCCTCCCACTCCTCTTTCTATTCTGGTTAGAGCCAGTTTGCGCTGTTCTGTGAAGGGAGTAGTACACGGCGTTGTACGAGATCTTCAGTTTCTTGGCAATTTCTCGCATGGAATAGCCTTAATTTATCAGAACAAGAATAGACTGACGAATTTCAGAAGAAAGTTATTTGTTTCTGGCCATTTTGAGCCAGTAATCGAATCCACAATTGCTGATGCTCCAGATACTCAACTAGTCTCAAGAAGGCCAGTTTGATTGCTTCTTTAATCAGCACAACAGTTTTCAGCTGTGCTAACATAATTGGAAAAGGGTTTTCTAATGATCAATTAGCCTTTTAAAATGATAAACTTGGATTAGCAAACACAACGTGCCATTTGAACACAGGACTGATGGTTGCTGATAATGGGCCTCTGTACGTTTATGTAGATATTCCATTAAAAACCAGCCGTTTCCAGCTACAATAGCCATTTACAACATTAACAATGTCTTCACTGTATTTCTGATCAATTTGATGTTATTTTAAATGGACACATTTTATTTTTATTTTCAAACAAGGACATTTCTAAGTGACCCCAAACTTTTGAACGGTAGTGTATGTAAATGAGATTTTTCGGTATTTCATTTTTCAATACATTTGCAAAGATCTCTAAAAACATGTTTTCACGTTGTCATTATGGGGTATTGTGTGTAGATGGGTGAGCAAAAAATCTATTTAATCCATTTTGAATTCAGGCTGTAACACAACAATGTGGAATAAACCAAGAGGTATGAATACTTTCTGAAGGCACTGCACCACTTATCAATACCAATGTACATTGGAACATCATCAAGAGACATTGAGGTTGTCTCAGGGATATGCAAAAAACTACATTTCAAATTCACATGTGTATAATACACACTTGTACATGTGTGAAATAGGACAAATGTAAGCACACCCACCTAATTATTTGTATTTATTATTACATTGTGTACTTGGCAAGAAGTAGCAGAGTAGCTTCACATAATAGAATCACTGCATACCAACTACTGTTTGGATCCAATGCAAATCAAATTTAAGCCACAGGGTTGCAGTATGTCAATGGGAAATATAAATACATGAGATTTAGAGGTAACATACTATGCACAATTTTCAATAGTAAATACTGTACATGATAATGATAACAATCACAAATTAGTGTTCATCCATACAATCGACTACCAACAACTTTTAACCACCCAGTCTTACTCTCCAACCACACTGATCGACACAAAAAAAAGAACTAGCACTCATGCTCCTAGTTGTGCTTTGTCAGTGAGTGCCTCAATCACCATGCAGTGCTTCGTACAGCTGGTGGGAAGGTGGCTTGGCAAGCAGACAGGAGTGAATGTGCTTTTAAATATAAAAAACAAAAAAATGTTTGTCCCTCCAAAGTTTTATCGCCACATGCCAGTGTGTTAGATCGTAGATGTAAAGGGGCCTAAACTAAAGTGGTACAGCAACGAGGGAGTATCTACTGCATCCTGTACCATTCAGAAATTATACAGTAGTGTGGTTGGGACCAAATGAAAGGCAACAAGCCAGCTTATGTTATGAGCTTATGAGAGAAATCAGTGCAGCAGTGTGATGAAGTCATAGACTTGTCACATACATTACATAACCAAAAGTATGTGGATACCTGCTCGTCGAACATCTCATTCCAAAATCATGGACATTGATATGGAGTTGGTCCCCCCTTTGCTGCTATAACAGCCTCCACTCTTCCAGGAAGGCTTTCCACTAGATGTTGGAACATTGCCATGGGAACTTGCTTCCATTCAGCCACAAAAGCATTAGTGAGGTCGGGCACTGATGTTGGGCGATTGGGTCTGGCTCGCAGTCGGTGTTCCAATTCATCCCAAAGGTGTTCGATGGGGTTGAGGTCAGGGTTCTGTGCAGGCCAGTCAAGTTCTTCCACACCGATCTCGACAAACCATTTCTGTATGGACCTCGCTTTGTGCATGGGGGCATTGTCCTGCTGAAACAGGAAAGGGACTTCCCCAAACTGTTGCCACAAAGTTGGAAGTACAGAATCGTCTAGAATGTCATTGTATACTGTAGCGTTAAGATTTCCCTTCACTAGAACGAAGGGGCCTAGCCCGAACCATGAAAAACAGCCCCAGACCATTATTCCTCCTCCACCAAACTTTACAGTTGGCACTATGCATTGGGGTAGGTAGCGTTCTCCTGGCATCCTCCAAACTCAGATTCGTACGTCGGACTGCCAGATGGTGAAGCGTGATTCGTCACTCGAGAGAACGCGTTTCCACTGCTTCAGAGTCCAATGGCGGCAAGCTTTACACCACTCTAGCCGACACTTGGCATTGCGCATGGTGATCTTAGGCTTGTGTGCGGCTGCTCGGCTTTGGAAACCCATTTCATGAAGCTCCCAACGAACAGTTTATGTGCTGACGTTGCTTCCAGAGGCAGTTTGGAACTCGGTAGTGAGTGTTGCAACCGAGGACAGACGATTGTTACGGTGATACACGCTTCAGCACTCGGCGGTCCTGTTCTGTGAGCTTGTGTGGCCTACAACTTTGCGGCTGAGCAGTTGTTGCTCATAGACGTTTCCACTTCACAATAACAGCACTTAAAGTTGACCGGGGCAGTTCTAGCAGGGCAGAAATTTGACAAACTGACTTGTTGGAAAGGTGGCATCCTATGACAGTGCCACGTTGAAAGTCACTGAGCTCTTCAGTAAGGTCATTCTACTGCCAATGTTTGTCTATGGAGAATGCATGGCTGTGTGCTCGATTTTATACACCTGTCAGCAACGTGTGTAGCTGAAATAGATGAATCTACTCATTTGAAGGGGTGTCCACATACTTTTGTGTATATATAGTGTACTTTATAGGAACTTTACTTTAACATTTATAATACTTGCCTCGCTATACTGGATGGTGGATTAAACCATGCTAATAAACCCACAGAAACTGTAATAAGCAGAGGCACAATAACATGACAGTCATTCTTCATTCCAATATCTTTCTTGCCGACTATGTAAACTACATAGAATTGAGTTACACATTAATGCTAGTGTTTGTAGGGCTTTATATCAATTAAGTAAATTGGGTGAAGAAAGCTCAGATATATAATTTACAGATGCGTTACTTGTGCATTTCTTGTAGTTAGAATTAGCTGTGCAAATGTATTTGTAGACTAGTTAAATGTTACTGGCAAGCTACAAAGTTAGATTACACACACACAGTCACACCCACATATGATTAGTTAAAGCCATTGTGAGTTGAACTCAGAGTATCTAATAACACACCAATCTTACAGTTCAAGAGCACTGAACTGTGACCAATCCTGGGAGTTCAATGTATAGAATGCAAATCAGTCTGCTGTTGGTGGAAGTAATGTGTCAACACTAACAATATGTTAATATGGTTGGTTCCAGCAGAAAAACAGATGCATTTTGCAGTTGAAAAACTTTCCCAATCTTGATTGATGACCACAACAAAAGTGACTATGAAGAATGTCCAACCCTGAGACTCAACATCCTGGCCAAACATCCTTTTACCACAATCAAATCACCAAGAAGCAGGACTTTTGGCAAGTCTAGCCCTTGACTTCACACAGAGAAAGAACACTTGAGCAAGTATTCCTTTTTTGGTTCAGGATTAAGACAGTTCTATGTGAGAAAGCCATCACTGAGAGGCATTGTGTTGGTCCTGTATTGTTCATTGGTCTCTGTTACCAATACAAAATGCTACTGTAGCAATGTTCACGCTCCTAAAAAGCACATCAACATTGTAGTTTTAATCTAACAGGTGATCGTGAGAGCACCTGACAGCTTTATCCCTTATGATGTAGCTAGTGTTTTTCATATAACTGCTGCATAACTAGTGTTTCTAAAAAGCTTCACTTCGATTCCTCCAAAGATGCTTTGAAAGCATGGAAACAGTTTCATTGAGAAATTTTTGCTCCTACCTTCTCTCTTAGGAAGTCAGCGATGTAATTTAAACAGGCACTTAATCAATGATAAAAGAGGAACCTGAGCCTGACAAAGTGTTCAATTTGTTTGTCTTTTTTCCATAGAAAAGAAGTGCCATGAACACACTACACACACTGGGTATGGTTTGGCTGAAACATTTTGGATAACCCCTTGGTTAGAAGAGTAAAGGCTGGGTGCAAGGCACAAAGGCTGGGATAGTTTGTAGCATGTTCCCCAACTGGTTTAACTAGATAATTTGGATTAAGGGTCATCTCAACCGGGTTATCCAGTAATAAAAATTGAATCCCAAACAGAGCAGGCCCTGAACAGGTGCTTGAAGTGCCCTTAGGCTGCATGTTCATCACACTTAAGGTGTCAGTGAAAAAGGCAAGATTGTTCACAATAGCAATACCATGAATAGCTTGCAGTGAGCTTATTTGTAGATTCTTATGGCGATTCAAAACTAGCAGGCCTCTAGACCAGAGACAGAGTGGCCGGCATGCGGCATGGCTGAGTGCTGGGATGAAGGGTGGTTCAGTGAAGTGAGCTATAACACCGGAGTTGAATGTCGAGTTGAAGTGTTGGAGGTGAAGTGAGGTCAGAGGAGCTGCCGGGCAGGGCTGCAGGTTGTGCTTGCCGTGTTGGATGGTGAGATCACATCAGGTCTCAAAGTACTTGTAGATGGCCGTGACGTAGGTCATCACACTCTGCCAGTCTGGTCTCTCAGTACTGGCCATCTCATTGAGGTCCTGCAGCACAGAGAATAAGACAAAGTTAAAGCAACAGGGGCTTTGTCATTAAGAAACATCATGCCTTGGAAAAGGTCCTTGCCATTTCTTCATCTTTGTATTATATATCAAGGTGATGTTTGTAAAAAAATAACTTGAAATAACATGCTGTTGAGTTCCACAATCAGACTATAAATAACTGTGGAGGTCAGAAATGTGCTTTTGTGGCATAAATTCTGAAAATAAGAGCTTGCATTTTTTATTTCTAGAACCAAGTGAACCCATAAAACAAATCTGTCAGAACAATTCACACAGGGCCTGCTTTATACCTAGCTATGGGTACAGTGATATACATTAATGTGAGAACTTATTTTGTAAAAAGGACTAAAATAGCTATCCAGGTGATGCCATGAAACTGCACCTGCCACCCTGCACATATGCACAATGAAGGCAGTTTCATCTAAAATATGTATCTTCTCTACAGGAGTCTACCTATAAGAGCCAGTCCTCAATCTCAATGCCTCACATAAAAAAGACCATCCTCAACATGCAATAGAATAGCAGGTCACGATTCACAACTGTGATTTTTAAGGTGAAATGAGCCTGAAAGATTCTCTATTAAAAAACAGGATTTTTTTAAAGCATGTCAGATATAGGTTTGAATATGTTCCTGTGAAAAACACCTCTGTTATTCAGTTCAGTTAATCTTTCACTTACCAGAGTGGACTTGATCCCCACACTCTCTGCAGCCTGGAAGGCTAGTGTGAAATTACGCCTCTAAAGATAGGGAGACACAAACAAACATTCACACACTATAATGCTCCCTGATCACAGATTAATGAGACAACTGGAAACAATGAAACAATCAAACAATGGCTAGGTTTCCATCCAATTGGTGACAGATTTATGTGAATGTTAAAGAATCCCAATAAAAACAATATGCACATTTTCCCACCAGAGTTTCCATCAAACTGACTTGTAGCAGATAAAAGGCTGTGCATGCTGACGTAGTGCACATAAAAATGACTTGTGGTTAAGTTCCCATATACCGAATAAAAAAAACATAAGTTAAATGGGCTTCCATCACAACTTCAACCCTAGCAATGGTTTTGTCACAAAAACTCTTGCGATAAATAGCAAACTGGTTTTGGCACATGCTCTCTAGACAAGACTTGGCTGATAATGTGGACAGGGGGTTATATGATTTGATAAAGATAAGAGCAAGATAATTGTATTTGATAATTGGCAGCCAAGCGCCGATCATCATGTCACCAGCATTCAAATAATAGCCTACCCTCGATATTTAGCCTATTGTAAATTTGCATGATTACCGTACACTTAACCACCATGTGAAGTTCATAACTTATTTAATCTGCCTATAAACTTTTGATGCTTTTCCACGTCGTGGTGGTAGGCCCATATTATCGTGTGACTCCAAGTTTACTTCGATATGATGGTTATTATATCAATATTTGCGCATAAAGGCATTTCCACTGCCATTTCTCGAATAATTAATTTTACAGTCACAAAAAGATCCCACCATGTCGAACAAACAAATTGTTCTTAATGCTAGTGTCTGTCAACATTTATGAATTTGCACCGACATTTCCTGTTTCCATAAGACCTGTTGTTACTTATTTTAGTCAGGTAATTCTTCCACATGTAATGGTTGGACGGAAATCTGGTTACAGTTCTCTGATACATTGTTACTCATCATCATCATCACTATCGTAGGAGGTAGGCTTGCCTTGTCCTGGCTGGTGAGCTCCTGGTAGGGGATGTGAGCAGGCAGGTAGGTGTGAAGCAGAGCACAGAACACAAGGCCGTCGTTCCAGCTACTGCTGAAGTTTGTTATGTCGATGTTCTGCCAGAAAGAGGGGCAAAGGGTTATTTTCATTGTCTTGCAAATGTAGAGTGTAAAGATGTGGGATGCAGGAGGAGTTTGGTATTGATTATACAATATATATTGGGTCGGGTCCCAGACATTGGTCCTAAAAGCGCCATGTGGTTTCATCCTACTAGTGGCTATAATGTCTTAAATCAACAGGCTTGTGTTCCTCATGACCTAATTTCTCTGAAGGATGAGGTCATATACACTGAGTGTACAAAACATTGAGTTGCACCCCTTTTTGCCCTCAGAACAGCCTCAATACATCAGGGCATGGATTCTACAAGGTGTTGACTCCAATGCTTCCCACAGTTGTGTCAAGTTGGCTGGATGTCCTTTGGGTGGTGGACCATTCCTGACACACAAGGGAAACTGTTGAGCGTGAAAAACCCAGCAGCGTTGCAGTTCTTGACACAAACCGGTGCGCCTGGCACCTACTACGATACCCCATTCAAAAGGCACTTACAGTGCATTCGGAAAGTATTCAGACCCCTTGACTTTTTCCACATTATATTACGTTACAGCCTTATTCTAAAATGGATTAAAATGGTTTTTTCCCGCCTCATCAATATACACACACAATACCCCATAATGACAAAGCAAAAATATGTTTTAAGATTTTTTTGCAAATGTATTAAAAATAAGAAACTGAGCTATCACATTTACATTAGTATTCAGACCCTTTACTCAGTACTGTTGAAGCACCTTTGGCAGCGATTACAGCCTGAAGTCTTCTTGGGTATGACGCTACAAGCTTGGCACACCTGTATTTGGGGAGTTTCTCCCATTCTTCTCTGCAGATCCTCTCAAGCTCTGTCAGGTTGGATGGGGAGCGTCGCTGCACAGCCATTTTCAGGTCTCTCTATAGATGTTCGATCGGGTTCAAGTCTGGGCTCTGGCTGGGCCACTCAAGGACATTCAGAGACTTGTCCTGAAGCTACTCCTGTGTTGTCTTGGCTGTGTGCCTAGGGTCGTTGTCCTGTTGGATGGTGAACCTTTGCCCCAGTCTGAGGTCCTGAGCACTCTGGAGCAGGTTTTCATCAAGGATCTCTCTGTACTTTGCACCATTCATCTTTCCCTCGATCCGGACTAGTCTCCCAGTCCCTGCCGCTGAAAAACATCCCCACAGCATGATGCTGCCACCACCATGCTTCACCGTAGGGAAGGTGCCAGGTTTCCTCCAGATGTGACGCTTGGCATTCAGGCCAAAGAGTTCAGTCTTGGTTTCATCAGACCAGAGAATCTTGTTTCTCATGGTCTGACAGTCCTTTAGGTGCCTTTTACTGTTTGTGCCTTTGTGCCTTTTACTGAGGAGTGGCTTCCGTCTGGCCACTCTACCATAAAGGCCTGATTGACGGAGTGCTGCAGAGATGGTTGTCCTTCTGGAAGGTTCTCCCATCTCCACAGAGGAACTCTGGAGCTATGTCAGAGTGACCATAGGGTTCTTTGTCACCTCTCTGACCAAGGCCCTTCTCCCCTGATTGCTCAGTTTGGCCGGGTGGCCATCTCTAGGAAAAGTCTTGGTGGTTCCAAACTTCTTCCATTTAAGAATTATGAATTATGGAGGCCACTGTGTTCTTGGGGACCTTCAATGCTGCAGAAATGTTTTGGTACCCTTCCCCATATCTGTGTCTCGACACAATCCTGTCACGGAGCTATACGGACAATTCCTTCAACCTCGTGGCTTGGTTTTTGCTCTGACATGCACGGTCAACTGTGGGACCTTATATAGACAGGTGTGTGCCTTTCCAAATCATGTGCAATCAATTGAATTTCCCACAGGTGGACTCCAATCAAGTTGTAGAAACATCTCAAGGATGATCAATGGAAACAGGATGCACCTGAGCTCAATTTCAAGTCTCATAGCAAAGTGTCTGAATACTTATGTAAATAAGGTATTTCTGCTTTTTATTTTTAATAAATGTGCAAAAATTTATAAAAACCTGTTTTTTCTTCGTCATTATGAGGTATTGTGTGTAGATTGAAGATAATTAAAAAATATATATATTTTAGAATAAGGCTGTCAAGGGGTCTGATTACTTTCCAAATGCACTGTAAATATTGTCTTGCCCATTCACCTTCTGAATGGCACACATACACAATCCATGTCTCAATTGTCTCAAGGCTTAAAAATCCTTCTTTAACCTGTCTCCTCCCCTTCATACACTAATTGAAGTGGATTTAACAAGTGACATCAATAAGGGATCATAGCTTTCACCTGGATTTACCAGGTCAGTCTATGTCATGAAAGAGCTGGTGTTCTTAATGTTTTGTATACTTAGTGTATGTTGATTGAGTATGATGTCTGCTCAGATTCATCTGACCGGATGATCAGATGCAACTATCAATCACATTTATTTTATAAAGCCCTTTTTACATCAGCAGTTGTCACAAAGTGCTTATACAGAAACCCAGCCTAAAACCCAGAAGAACAAGTGAAGCAGATGTAGAAGCACAGGTGCTAGGAACAACTCCTTGAAAGGCAAGAACCTATAGCAGGGGTTCCCAAACTTTTTCTATGGGCTAAAAAACATTAGCTGACATGGGCTAGTTGATCTGGACATTTCTGACAAGTTACAAATAGCACGAAGGTATGCAATGACTAACATGACAAGAGGAACTGATGATGCACTACCCATTTCAACCCCTCGCCCCACAGTTTGGGAACCACTGCTATAGAGGAAACAGGCTCCGAGGGGTGGCTTTGCCGGCTGGAGATTATAAGAGTACATGACCATTAAGGCCAGATAGTTCTTCAAGATGTTCAAACGTTCATAGATGACCAGCAGATAAGATGACTAGCAAGGTAAAATAATCATCAGTGGTTATAGAGGGTGCAACGGGTCAGCACCTCAGGAGTAAATGTCAGTTGGCTTTTCATAGCCGAGCATTTAGAGGTCGAGACAGCAGGTGCGGTAGAGAGAACGAGAGTGAGAGAGCGAGGGAGCGAGAGAAACTAGATTTCTGTTAACACCACATTATAATCCTGACAGGATTGTTTCCTCAGCTACAGCAACAACAGAATCCCCCCCAAAAAACAAAGCTGGTTTGTTTCCATCCCACTAGCCCAATGCATTACATCCCAATGCTCTCCTCCCAGCCAGGCAATCCACAGCTTTTCTGTCAGGCAGTTGAAAGGACGTGTGAAATTTGGCACACTTCCTGAAGAGGACCTCTGTAAAGGGGGAAACCATGACGACCATTCACTCTCTGCACTAGAACCAACAAGCCCATTGGAAAAAAAAGCTGTTTCAATATGACAGAGTGAGTCTTAAAAACGTGCCCTAGATAGCAAATTCAACAAATCAATATAGTTGATTTATAGTAGCTAAACATTTATTCCCTCTCTGGATGATGTTTGAAGCCGTGCCCAGGCACTGTTGGTCCAATCCCATGCTTTAGAGCAGGAGAGGAACCATAAGGACAACACAATAAAACTGACAAGTCCTCATGACATCTATAATGGTTTACAACTTGAAAAGGGGAGCTTAAAGGATGCACTGACGTAGGTGTCTGAGAGGGGCTTTTAAAAAAAACAATCAACTTAACTAGACCTTCTGACAATGCTATTGAATTAGATTATCATGAATGAACCTCACACCAGATATTTTCACTTATAAAAAATCATCCATTGGATCAGTCTCACTGTTGAGATATTTAACAAAATAAATCCTTATCAACAGGCGAGTCAGTGACATGAGAGGTGAAATGACCCAAGATATAATTCTCATCCCAAACCGTCTGTTCTGAGTACATCCACAACCTGTCAATTCCTATTCTGACTGAACAACACATACCTGGTACCCCTCAGTCTTCTTTTGGCACCACTTAAGCAGCGCGTTCCTCTTGGAGCCCCCATACTCCCGGGCCAATGCTGAGAGGGGGTCCTTCCGCTCCTCTCTGAACACACGTCACACAGGAAAGGTCAGAGAGTCATTTGAATTAATACACATATCCAGATTCCATGTACCTGGCCATTGAAGCCTATATGCTATAGTCAAAATCAGTGTTGTAGTACTCGAGACCGGTCTCTAGACCACATATTGAGCGTCTCGGTCTTGACTTGGTCTCGGACAATCAGCTCCCATTCAGTCAGCACATAAAACCGCTTCGCCCAGCCAACTAGCCACACTTCATTTATGACACATGAATAGCTTATCGCCTACCTGGGCTTCCTACTTTACTTGTAACATTACTGTCCTTTACTTTTGTTGAAAAATGAAAATAAAGTTGCACTCTCACTATTAGTATGGGGAGACTGGGGGAAGTTAGTAAAAGTTGTATTTGTATCTATTATAGACCTGTTTGGGTTAGTGATAGTTGGTAGAGTGGCTCCCTGTTTGCCCTCAGCATGCATTTGTTCAACATTCTGAATGTCTAAAGAATCCATATATTCTTCTGAAATATAAACACAGACATTCTGGACATTTTGAACTCTTATTATGGTGGCGATTTGACACAATTACAATCGTGGTCTTGAATTGGACTTTTTGTGCATTGTTCTGGTCCGGTCTGGCGAACCCCTCGCCCCCCTCCCGGTCTTGGTTTTGACTCGATTTGCTCTGTTCTTGGTCTTGAATCAGTCTCGCTTTAAGTGGCCTCGAACACAAAACTGGTAAAGATATAATGTTAACCATACAAAGGACTTCGTGGACTCATATGTATCGTATGAAAGGTATGGAGCTCATGAGGCTGTTACCGGAGGCGGCTGCGTGCAGTGGGGGTGACAGAGGCGGTGGGGGAGGAGGAGGACAGGGAGGAAGCAGACCCCATGGCCATCAGAGAGGAGGAGGTACCACCCTCAGGGGCAGAGATGTCCCTCTTCATCTCCTCACTGCTCCTGCGGGACACTGACCACCACACAAACAGACAGAGATACAGTGTGGCTGACATCTTCACTGCAAGTGAAGTCCAAAGTCTGATCTGTTCTGTGTGTGCATGGTAGGGGATGCATTCCAACAAAATATTTGGTCAAATGTCATTGATTTCTTTCTCAAAATGCACTTAATTTTACTGGCAACCATTTAGAAGAATTGCAGATTTATTTCAAGGTTTATTCCTATTTCCATGACTTGTGATACCTGAGATGGCCATGGCCTTAGATGGGTCCATGTTGGAGACCCTCTGGAGAGCAGAGGCAAGGCGGCTGGCAGAGGAGCCCCTGAGATGATGCTCTGCTGCGGAGAGAAGGACAGTGGCAGGATTAAACACACTAACATTATGATAACCCCACAACCAGTCAAGAAACAAATTAGAGTTTTAAGCAAGAGGGATGTGGGGTCAAAAGCAACATTCCAGGCCTGGAACTGTCAAGTACCATGGAATGAGGTTTGTTTCCATGCAAGAAAACAACCGGGACATTAAACTAAACATTGGAGACTTGGACCACTATAGCACGTTCACATTTACAGGCCCTTGAGCACGGAGTCAGCAGAGCTTCATGTTTACCCCCCCCCCCCCATGGTGCTTTGTTACACCTCCCACACCAAATTAAAGTCAACACGAAGCTCTGCTGACTCCATGCTCACGCTCACCTCCTCAGGGGCTAAAGACAACCACCCCCCTGCTTTAGAGGCAAAGCACCGCCACACTCGCTGAAATATATCCACATAATACGAGGACCAAGATGAAATTGTTTATTTTCTGCAGCCATTTCTCTCCTTTTATGTGGGCCTGTGATAGATTGAACGCCTCTCTCATTTTGTTCAAGAGAGACCGAATGAGATCCAGACATGGAGCTTTGCTGTCAGTGTTATTGTTTGTGCTGTCAACTCACTTGGCATGCTGATGTCTGTGTAGCTGGGCCTTTTGTCATTCAGAGACGAGAGGGGTTTGGGTGCTGAGATGGACCCAGTTATGGAGTGTCTCTGAAATAGACCAACAATCATTTGATTAAAACTCTCACATACAAAATGTCTTCATCCTCCCAACAGAAGTAGCCTAATGTATGCCATTTCTGGAAAAAGCCCTAGCTTGAAGAGAGGCCATTCTGACAGCAGCACTAGCAGCCAGGCACTGCCAATAATCTTGTGACTGCAGAGGTCAAAGATAGATGAGAAACAGCAGGACTGAAGACTTATGAAAGTTGTATACGAGGAAACAGAAAAACCCATCTCTCTCCCCCTGAACTCTGATCCTTTTATTTGAGAATACCTGATTCTCTACTAAAATAATGCATACAAAATATCCAAGGCTCTGATTTCCCCCCTCTGTCCACAGTATTCCATGAACTGACTGAATTTGTCCTTCTACTGTATAGCATTGCAGAGTTCTGTGGTAGTCTTTGAGCCATGAAGCTGATTATGTTCTCAAAAATGTGTGAGAGTTTAAAACATGATAAAATAAATCTATGGGGCAATTCAATGCATTGAGAAATGATCTATGGATGATGTGGATGCACTGACAGTAAGTCACTCTGGATAAGAGAATCTACAAAATTACCAAAATGTAAGTGAAGGGAAAGTGAGATAATGGAATTAGAGCTATGGGACATATTCTCGATCAAAAACTCAATATCCGTTCCATCTCATGGTCTGTGTATGAGGCAAGCCCAGCGACTGTCAGCTGTGACAAAGTGCCAGAGGAGGAAATGCCACCTGTGGAGTATTGGAGGTCTATAAACACTGAATATAGGACAGCTCTTGACCTGGTGGTCACAGTAACTCTTTCACTACTGCACCGCTTCCTGACCTAGTCAGCACAGACAACAATTCCATCCTAAACTGCTCTGGCGGTTCTAAAACACTCCATTTGATCTAGACCTTGATAAGTAGTTACGTGTGAATGACTGGTCTAGTGTAAGCCAGGTTTTTTGTGTGTGCTTGACCTGATGCCTACACTTAGAGCTTGCCATGCAAACAAACACACTGAAATGGGTCAGTGGGTCAAACGTTCCAGGTGGTGTACCTGTATGGGTGTGATGGCGGCTGCAGGAGGGGTCTTCATGGGGCTGGGGCTCAGGGGAGTGCGGGGTAATGTGGCAGCAGGGGCAGCGGTCGGGGGGACTGGGCCTGTTGTGAACAGAAGGGGACACACAAATCAGTCACATCAGGTAGAAATCCCACAGTAATATTACTACACTGTATAAGGAGCAGTGATACTGCTAGGCTTATTACTAGGAATGTACAGGTCAAATTAGAATAAAAGTCAGAAAAGTGGTCCATAACTTACACTCGCAGGTTGGGGTACCTTGTGTGGAGGCATTGTCGAAGCTCTTGATGAGGGTTTTGACAGTGGGAGAGGGCTCAGAGGAGGTAGAGGAGCGACGGCTCAGGCCCATGCCCTGCCTCAGTGCAGCCAGATCCCTCTCCACTGCATTCATGTAGTTATACACCCTGCCCCTCTCCTCATCCTGCCTGACGAGACAAACACCAACACTCAATACACACATACACACCAAGGCACATCAGCTCTCACATCACCCATTTCATGTAAATGAAAATACAGACCAGCACATCCAGCTTGATCAATGTGACAAACACTGTTAAACCCAAACCTGCACACATACATCTCCCCTAAATGATCACAAGACAGCTGGCGTCAGCTGACGTGACACTTGGCATCAAGCACGGCGTGTTCCTCAGTGTCTCTTACTTGCGGTTCTTGACTTCCTCCAGCTCCTTGCCCAGCTTCTCGTTCTTCTCCTGGGCCTCGCGGAGACGGTGCCGCATATCCCCAATCTCCTCCTGTGCTTCCGACTTGATGTCATTAGCGATGACCACGGCTGTCTGCAGATCAGCCTGGAACTGACGCCACTCTGCCGACTCCTCCTGAACACACACAGCGAATCAAAACAAACAAGTCCATCATAAGATACGGCCCTCTGAATGCTGAAAAACACCAACATAATTTCGACCACTGAGGCCGAATGATCAATCTATCTAATAAGAAAAAATGTGGAACCAAACTTCATTATATTGCTTTACAGTAAATTTGAGTTGTAATGAACATGGCCCAAACCATAGTGCTGCTGTGCATGACCGTGTCACTGAACCCTGGTCCTCAGATGGCCCTGTCCACTGGCCCACTCACCCTCAGCCTCCGGTGGAGAATCTTAATCTCCCGCTCCATGTCATGCTTCTGGTCCTGTAGTTTTTTCACAGAGTCTGAGGGAGGAAGCAGATACATGGCTGAGTTCATGTGAACAGGCCACAGGATATATTCACACGCAGCATAGGAAGAGAATCTGCGTAAAAAAAATTCAGGAGCCGATAGAGACCTTAGCAGCACCATCTTATGAAACTGGGAGTTAGGGTTAATTATTGTGTAATTCAGTCTATGAAGTAACTGAACCCCATTGACGGCAATAGCAATATAGCTACACGTCAAGGAGTCTCAAAGGCAAAACATTATTGACTTGTATCTACCAAGCGTATGTTAATTCATGTTAAATAACAACAGTTCATACGCATGCTTTTTGTGAGTCTGAGTGACTTATAACCACACAAAATCAACACAGGTGCGAGTACAGAAATCTCTCTTATTCTAACAGAGGACTGTTCACTTTCCTCAGGCTGCAAGAAGCCTGACACAGCCACCATGTGGCCAAAAGGTGGAAAATGCATTGTGGGGCTCCAGTGTCATGTGATATGATGACGTAGTTCTATGATGCTGTGCCATGTTTTCCCCCCTGGCCCTAGCCCACTCACTCTCCAGGTCTGTGATGATGAGATTGTCATGGAGTTTGACGGCTCGATGCTGCTCCACCTCATCCTCCAGCTCAAAGATGGTCTCCTTCATGTCCCCGATCTCCGTCTCCTTCTCCAGCAGCTCACCGCGCTGCTTCTCCAGCCCACGCTTCTGCTCTGCCATCTGCTTCTGCACCTGCTCCTGGAAGTCTCGGTACTCCCCATCCAGCTGCACACACCACCCAGGACAGAAGGAATCAATAATCTCATTCATTAACTAAATGGCCCAAATGAATGCTCATTCTTTTTTTCCAGTGGTGAGGGAATACACACTCACCGGCCAGTTTATTAGTTACACCACCCAGTTCAAGAAAATGGATCGCTCCTACAGACAGTGAGTCACGTTGCCGTGGCTTGCTATATAAAGCAGGCAGACAGGCATCGAGACATTCAGTTACTGTTCGATTGAACGTTAGAATGGGCAAAACGAGTGACCTAAGCGACTTTGAGAGTGGTATGATCGTCGGTGCCAGGCGCACCGGATCCAGTATCTCAGAAACGGCCGCCCTCCTGGGATTTCATGCACGACAGTGTCTAGGGTTTACCAAGAATGGTGCGACAAACAAAAAACATCCAGTCAGCGGCAGTCCTGTGGGCGGAAACTGCTCGTTAATGAGAGCGGTCAAAGGAAAATGGCAAGAATCATGCAAGCTAACAGGCGGGCCACAAACAGACAAATAACGGCGCAGTACAACAGTGGTGTGCAGAACGGCATTTCGGAACGCACAACTCGATCCTTGTCATGGATGAGCTTTTGCAGCAGATGACCACACCAGATTCCACTCCTATCAGCTAAAAACAAGATGAAGCGGCTCCAGTCGGAGTCATGCTGATGGCAGAGTCAGGATTTGGCTTAAGAAGCATGAATCCATGGACCCATCCTGTCTGGTGTCAACGGTACAGGCTGGTGGCGCTGGTGTACCGCCATCCGATCTGCAGCAAATGTGTGATGCCATCACGTCAGCATGGACCAACATTCGTATGGAGCGTTTCCGACTTGTAGAATCCATGCCCCGAATAATTCAGGCTGTTCTGGAGGCAAAGGTGGGTCCGACCCGGTACTAGATGAGTGTACCTAATTAACTGGCCGGTGAGTCCATAAAGCAGACAGATGCATTTCTATGAAAGCTTTAAAGTAACTGTCCAGTGAAAATCTCACTTTTAAAAAGTTCATATTCTATTAACTCATACCCAAATAATGTTGTTGACTCGTCCTATACTCGTATGTGTTCGAAGCATAAATTAAAGAAAAAAACACTTCAAAATCCCCACCTCAAACTTGTATCTCAAAGAGACTGTTTAAAAATTGCTTGCTATTTCCTCATAAAGTGATGTCACGTTGGCACATTTGCTGAGCTGGCCAATCAGCTGTTTACTTGTCATGAATATTCTTAATGACCGGTATACGGCCACACCATTCTGTTGTTGGGGTACGCCCACAGAAAAGCTGCTTTTTAACATACTTAATTTTAAAAAATTGGAAGGAAAACTATTTCACTCATATAATTAATTAAAAACACTGGACAGTTACTTTAAGGTGGTATAGAGCAAAGTGGACTTTTATGAACTTTTCACAAGTTGGATACAGGAGACAGAAGCAACCATCAAAAGGGTGGTGCGTGCGTGGACTCACCTTATTGAGGGTGTCCTGCAGCCTGGTGACATCACTGCAGGCGTGGCCCAGGTCCTCCTGCAGTTTGGCAGCCCTGCCCTCTGCCTCCTCCTTGTCCAGCCGAACACCCTCCAGCAGCTGGCAGATGTCACTCTTGTCTCCAGAGTTGTGGATGGAGTAGAGCTCAGCCACCTTCTGCCTCTCCTGGTCCAGCTGGGCCCTGCAGCGGCTCAGCTCTACCTGGTCACAGTTCACCGCTGCCTTGTACTCCTCCAGCGCTGCCACCATGGCCCCCTGGTCCTGCCTCTCTGACTCCATGATGCGCTCCATGTGGTGGTTTCTCTCCTTCAGAGCCCCGATCACCTCCTGGGCTTCGGCGTTGTCCTGCTCTGCCATCTTCAGCGTGTTGCTGAGGTGCTGCTGCACCCCCAGTAGCTGCTCCCTCTCGAAGCTGGCGTTGTCAGCCAGATCCACATAGCGCTGCTCCAGCTCCATGTAGCGGCCGCTCTTGATGTCTTCCTCCAGGACGTAGGACACGTGGTGATCGTCCAGCAGAGAGCGGAAGTACTCAATCTGCCGGCCGTAGTGCTCCAGCTTGTCGCTCTGCTGACACAGAGAGTCCATGAGGATGACCTTCTCCTCCCCTAGCCTCTCATTTTCTCCGTTCAGCTCCTGGGTGATCTGCTGCAGGTCAGCCAGCTCCTGTAGTGTGGCCTGCAGCTCCTCGGCCGTGCTGTGCTGGTTCTCCTCCATCTGGTGGATGCGCTCTGTCAGGCAGGCCACAGACACCTCGCTGGCGTTGCCGCTGCTGCCCCGGTGCGAGCGCTCTCGGCTGGGCACGCTCTCAGACTCGGAGGAGGAGGAGGCTCCGGAGGGGGCGTCCAGGGCGTCGTCGCTGGATGTGACACCCTGGTAGACCTCGCTGGACTCACTGTCCAAGTTGTCCACTGAACCACCGTGCTGCTGGGCCGTCAGCAGGTCCTCCAGGGAGCCCGGGGCAGAGCCCTCCACAGAGGAGGTGAGGGTACCAGTGCACCCACCATCGCTGTGTCCGCTGCTGGCTGCCAGGTCTGGGCTCAGGGAGGCGTAGCTAAAGAGCTTGTCAGAGCCATCCAGCCTCTGCTCCAGGGAGAAGCCAAGCGCGTTCAGCCGGTCCTTTAGCATGCGGTTCTCACTCTTCAACAGGTTCAGTTCCTCACGGATGGCATGGTTCTGCTCCTGCAGAAGGAGCAGCGTGGACTCCACGTCCGCTGCTGTGATGGCCGACACCTCCTTCTCCAGGGGCTTCTCCTCCCCCCTTCCACCTTCTACCTCCTCTGGGGGCACCTCCTCCCGTCCCAGGCCCAGCTGAGCCCTCATGTCCCTCAGCTCGCTGCGCAGGTGCAGGATCTCCACGTCTTTGCTCTTGGCCAAACCCAGCAGGTCCTCCACCTTGGCCTCCAGGGCCACTTTGTCACTGATCTGGCTGTCTGATTTAGACTTGTTCCAGCGGCCCTCCGACTCTGCTAGCTGCTGGCTGTGAGAGCGCTTTCCCTGGGCAACATCTCCCTGCCCTGCCCCTGACGATGACTGCTTCTTACTAGTCGATGTTCTGGATGTCCGCAGACGGTCCCTTGATGAGTTGGGCTCCTTGGAGGTTGAGGACGTCACACGTTTGGCTGAGGAACCTTGTAAAGAGAGACAGAACAGAGCAAGCATGAAATGCAGAGTAATAATAAATATTATGAAAATAGACTAGGTCATTAGAGGCTAGTCAGCTAATATAAAGATATAAACAGATTTACCTGTGCTAGTCTTTGGTTTACTGTCTGGGTTACCACTGCTGGTCCCCGTTGAGGCAGTCCTCTTATTCTTAGTCACAGTGCGGTTGGTAGCTGGAGTGCCCCCTGCCATTGCTGCTAGCAGATCATCATTGCTTTTAACCTGGAGAACAATCACATGAGAACGATCACTTTAATGCCACTCCCACTGATCCTGCCAGCCACCAGAATAATAACTTAGGAATGTTCGGTACCATGGTAAACATGTACAAATGGGTGTTGGCAAAGTAGGCCATTGTATAATAACAATAAGGCACCTCGGGGGTTTGTGGTATATGGCCAATATACCACGGCTAAGGGCTGTATTCAGGCACTCTGCGTTGCGTCATGCTTAAGAACAGTCCTTAGCCGTGGTATATTGGCCATATACCACACCCCCTCGTGCCTTATGGCTATTATAAACTGGTTACCAATGTAATTAGAGCTGTAACAAGAAATGTTTTGTCATACCCGTGGTATACGGTCTGATATACCATGGCGGTCAGCCAATCAGCATTCAGGGCTCGAACCACCCAGTTTATAATATATAATTTAGAATATGATAGAAGTGTACCTGGCTTAGTTACAAGAAGTGTAGTGGAATAACAGAAGTGTACCTTTGACAGGGGTGCTGTTGTGGTGGTCTTGGCTGCAGCCTTGCCTGTGGTTCCTGTAGCAGTGCCTTCAGTCTTCCCCCTCTCTCCACTCTGAACCTTACTCCCCACTGGCCTGCCTGTCTTCTTCATACTGGGCTCTCTGATGCCCATACATTTACACCTCAGTCTGGACACACACAGGCGGTAAGGACAACACATCAGTGGAAAGATTACCTTCAACTACATTTCATTGAAACAATTTCCATAAAAGGAAAACACCTCATCTCCACAAGTCTGGAAAACAAGGCATTCTCATTTGACTTCATCTTGCTCAGTCTCAGATTTCCTGACTGTCATCAACTCCACTAGATGGTAGTCACTAGCTGGTTTGGGTCTAACTGGGGTTGTTCTGTGTTCAGAAGTTCCTACTGTCACTGATAAAGATTTAATACACAATCCATGTGTATTAGCTCACGTCTCACCCAGGTGCATGGACAACTGGCCTTGCTGTCATGATGACCAAGGTAGGGAAAGTATTTGGGGCTTTATCTATGACAGCAGAGCTTATAAAACGGCGTTATAGGACAAATGAGGCAGTCTCTTTCATCCTGAAAATTACTCACCAAAAGTTAAGAAATAGGCTAGGTGTTGCGCACAAGAACATTTTACTTTATGTCTTCAAGGAATGGTTGTGTAACATTGCAAGAGGCCCTGAGAATAGCCTAAAAATAAACTATATCTGCTAAAAGGGTGAACCAATTTGCAGAGTAATGGCTTTCCAAAGGGCGCGGCAAGACAATACAGTTCTCAGAGATATGGACATAGTTTAAATTATACTGCTGGAGACAGGACGGGGGAGGGGCAGATCTCAGTAATAACCTTTCTTCTGCCTGCTCTCCCGAGATTCCTACGATCGAACCCAACCTGCTGCTGGCCATACTATACCGCACAGCATAGCCTATGTGACCATTGAACCAAACAAACTTGTTTCATTTTAAAATATAAATTATATAGGGAGCATTTCTGGCTAAATACAGTTATTTGCCTGTGACAAAGTGATAACCTTTTCTAAACTCTTTTGTTTGGCGTATTAAGAACTTCAAACTCTTTCCATTCTCTTTCTTCTTTAGACTAACCGACACAATCCATCAAAAAGAGTTGCAAAAAAAGGGAACACGCCGTCTGGTCCTTTCCGCACTTGTGCTGGAGTTATGAGATCTTTCCAGAGCTTTTTTAACAGCTCCCAGTTGTCCTCCCTCGCCTCTCATTTATGGCAGAGCAGCAGAGGGCTTGTGCTCATGAGGAGTAGGCCTAAACTCTGCCTAATGTCTCTCAGCTGTGTGTGTGTGTGTGTGTGTGTGTGTGTGTGTGTGTGTGTGTGTGTGTGTGTGTGTGTGCTGCAACCCTTTGGTTGGGAGGTGCTTGTTTATTCAGACCCCCTATTGAAATATACCTAGTATACACATTCCTGAACAGCCAGAGGGTAAGAGACAGGCCAGACTGTGAATGTTGAAATAACTAAAGTGAAATACAATACAGTAACATAGTACATACACCCTTATTGGCAGTGGAATATTAATGTAAAACTTGGCATTGGAATATTCCTTTAGAGTTGCCCCTTTAACGTAAAACTAAAACACAATGAGTGTTCTACTGAAGCCTATGTGTGCGTACGCCTGTTCTCACCCCCATCTGACCTCTGTTTGGATTGTGCAAGGCTTGTTGCCAGCTGCTGACATGGGCTCTCAACATATTTTATTTTATTTTATTTTTAGTCATTTAGCAGACGCTCTTATCCAGAGCGACTTACAGGAGCAATTAGGGTTAAGTGCCTTGCTCAAGGGCACATCGACAGATTTTTCACCTAGTCGGCTCGGGGATTAGAACCAGAGACCTTTCGGTTACTGGCACTATGCTCTTAACCACTAAGCTACCTGCCGCCCTACATACATACTGGTTAGGCTACAGTTGTCTGTAGCTCAGATGTGGGTCAAACAAGATCACCCAAACACACAACCTGGACCTAGAGGGCTGCTCTTTTCTTTGGCTATGAATGAATGGGACTGGGTGACAGAGGCTGGGGAATAAACTGACCTTTCAGTCTATTCTCACCATTCATAGAGTAACATGACGGAATGTCTTCTGTAGACCATCAGGTTCAGATGTGCAGTAATACTTCAATGCCTTTCTTATACTCAACATACACTGATTATACCAAACATTAGGAACACCTTCCTAATATTGCGTTCCCCCCCTCTCCCCCCTTTGCCCTCAGAACAGCGTCAATTCGTCAGGGCATGGACTCTACAAGGTGTCGAAAGCATTCCACAGGGATGCTGGCCAATGTTGACTGCAATGCTTCCCACAGTTGTGTCAAGTTGGCTGAATGTCCTTTGGGTGGTGGAGCATTCTTGATACAAACGGGAAACTGTTGAGCATGAAAAACCCAGCAGCGTTGCAGTTCTTGACAAAAACCGTTGCACCTGGCACCTACTACCATACCTGTTCAAAGGCACTTAAATATTTTGTCTTACCCATTCACCCTCTGAATGGCACACATACACAATCCAGGGTGATGAGTCTAGGGTGATGAGCTCTCACTCCGCAACAGACTACCCAGCTCTGAAGCCAGCACTGGTCCTGATGAATGGGCTAGTGCTGCTATTTGACTACAACAATGTCAGACTAATGAATGCATGGGACCCTTGGATTCAATCCAAGGCTGACCAGAAGGACAACTGTGCACAGTCAGTGTCCCTAGTTGCTTATTTAACAATACTAATTAAAGAGGGAATAAAAATTGAGCAAGAGAGCAATAGTCCATAAATGATTTCACATTCACTCAGTTACTCCTAACTGCCCCCTCCCTCTTTCTTATTCAGCATGCTTTGACTGCGGGAGTCACTTCCCTTCCATAACATCAGCTTCCTGTGGTGGCGTCTCCTTTGAGAAAATCCTACAAGGATGAATGTGTGTGCGAGGACAAGTAGGCATCAGTGTGTTTGAGACAGAGCAGTGTAACCTACTAACCTCTGATCTCACAGTCTAAAACATCCTTCAAAGCCAAAGAGCCAGTCCTAACAGATCCAACAAAGACATCTTTCATTTTAAGATTAAGATCACAAGGTCCAACCGAAATGTGACTTCCACTTTATCTCAACCCCTCCAAAAGACACACATACCTATACAGGATAGGAGAGGTTGGAGCAGGGGGCTGCCACACTGGGCATCTGTGGAGCAGTTGTTTTGGGGGGTTAAGTGCCTTGCTCAAGGCCACAACAGCAGGCAATGGCATCTAGGATTTGATACCGGCAGCAACGCTCCGGTTGCCAGCTCACTTCAGACCAGAGATTTGAACTGGCAACCCTCTGGTTGCTGGCTCTCCTCTCTAACCGCTAGGCTACCTGCTGCCCCGAAAAGTGGTGCACCGTTCCTGGAGGTACTCCAATACCGGGTGGATGCGCGGAGCAACTCCCATTTCCCACTCCCTGCTTGAAAAATCAATATAATAAGTAATCCCCCGATGGGGGATGTATTAGATAATAAACTGAAAAGAACAGATACTAGACTTGATCTTAGCCAAGCTAAATGTACCCTATCATGTACCTATTATGCTGGATTGGAAAACACTGTGATATGCAGTGCATACAACTGAAAACATGGCTAGGACAGTCTGTATCGGAGTTTAGGGGATTTTGGTGAACAACTCACAAAGGAGGAGCCCACTACACAATCACACATGCACAAACACATACTCTGTTCAAAAGGGGGAATTGGCTCTGGAAGCCAAAACAGTCAAATACTCCATCTAAATCGATTCTTAATTATGGTACGGTTGTAGAAACATAAATCCCTCTACTTTAAAATCACATCAAAATAATTTCACAAATCAAAATACACACTTACACTGTTTTAACACAGTTGCAGCTGACAGTATTTTCAGTGACAACACCTTTGTGGCATTGGTCTTCTGTTTTACAGGTGTTCGGAGACACAGATAGCTAATTAGCACAGGTAGTCCACTCCGTCTTCCGTCAACAAGCGCTGTAACATGGAAATATTGCCATGTGGGACACTAACCCTATAAAAAGGCACTTTTTTTATTATTATTATTCCTCGCCGATATGAAAGATAAGGTTCCAAAACCGTACCGCAAGCAATGCGTGTTTATGTTCGGACCGAGCGCTGCGGCTCTTAACAAAACGTCCCTCTACTGAAGACGCCTACGTCCAATGACTCTTATGGGCAATGTAATGAAATTGAGAGTCATGATCAAGGGCTAGTGCTTAGGTAACCTCCAGCTTTAGGAATGTGCTTTGTTTGGCAGGGGTTTCCTTTCAAACTGCAAGAGGAACATTTCCAAGAACTGAAGATTTTTCACTTTAGGACATTTTTCCAAAAGGCAGGCTGCAGAGACAAGGAAGAGTAGGCTAGGCCTAATTCCTATTGCATAAGTCACATTCCTTGGACAGGACATTGAAGAGCAGACCATCAAAATATAGCTTAATGATGCACTATGCTGGAAATCGCTCCACCATTTCCTGGTTGCTAAAATTCTAAATAGTTCACTTAATTTCAGTTTGTGACAAAACAAGCAAGTATAGTGTAGAGAATCATTGTACCATCTAAACCGCTGTGAAATATTTTTTCCATAACCAAAAATATTGTATTTTCAGCTGTTTGAAGCTGGTGTACAAAACCAAAAATATACTGAACAAAAATATAAATGCAACATGTAAAGTGTTGGTCGCATGTTTCATGAGCTGAAATAAAAGATCCCAGAAATTTTCCATATGCACAAAAAGCTTATTTCGCTCAAATTTTGTGCACACATTTGTTTACATCCCTGTTAGTGAGCATTTCTCTTTTGCCAAGATAATCCATCCACATGACAGGTGTGGTATATCAAGAAGCTGATTAAACAGCATGATCATTACACAGGTGCACCTGGGGACAATGACAGACCACTCTCAAATGTGTAGTTTTGTCACACAACACAATGCCACATATGTCTCAAGTTTTGAGGGAGCGTGCAATTGGCATGCTGACTGCAGGAATGTCCACCAGAGCTGTTGCCAGAGGATTTAATGTTAATTTCCCTACCATAAGCCGCCTCCAACGTCGTTTTAGAGAATTTGGCAGTATGTCCAACCGGCCTCACAACCGCAGACCACGTGTAATCACTCCAGCCCAGGACCTCCACATCCGGCTTCTTCACCTGCGGGATCGTCTGAGACCAGCAACCCGGACAGCTGATGAAACTAAGTATTTCTGTCTGTAATAAAGCCCTTTTGTGGGGAGAAACTCATTCTGACTGGTTGGGCCTGGCTCCCAAATTGGTGGGCCTATGCCCTCCCAGGCCCACCCTTGGCTGCGCCCCTGCCCAGTCATGTGAAATCCATACATTAGGGCCTAATTTATTTATTTAAATTGACTGATTTCCTTATATGAACTGTAACTAAGTAAAATCGTTAATTGTTGCGTTTATATTTTTGTTCAGCAAAAAACTAAACTTAAGAACGGGACGCATAGAAATAGCGCAGATTTACCGTTTTTTTGACTTGCAATGAGAATTACAGATCTATAACACATTTCTATGTGAATTTGGTCGGGTTGCCCATAAATAATAATTATTATTCCATTCCGTAAAATAAAGAGTAGTCAGTTAAAAGAGACTCACTTAGAATTATTATTTATTCTACTGTATATGAGAACAGCGTGCGTGTGTTTTAGCTACATTTTCAAAAATAAGTATGCCTTTAGAGAAACCTCTAAGTTGCATGCGGTAAGGTGTGACATGCTTCAGGTTCAGGGAATCACAACATTTAATTACATTACAATTCGTTACTACTGCTATGATGACATTTGACATAGACCAGTTGACAGAATGTCACCACACTCCTTGATTGTTAGCTATCAATCTAATAGCTTGCTGCCAACATTTTGTTACCGAGCCAAACCCTTGTATTCCCAGTGCCTGTGTATGACTAACTAGCAGACATAGCTAACATTATACGACAAGGAATACATTACTTTTAGCTCTATTTCCTAATCACGTTAGCTAACTAGTTATCGTTTTAGCGAGCAAATCAATCAATACAGCCACTCATTAGTTCTCAGCTAACCTAGCTAGCTACCTACCGTCGCTAACCATTAGGCTAACGTTAGCTGTGTCAAACTATTCAGCTATACTACCAACTAATTAGCTATCAAAAAGACACTCACCAAGCTAGTTGAATGTTCCAGGAGACGTAAAAGTTGCAAGGTTTTCATTAGCTTAATAGCTATCTAGCTAGCTAAAAAATTAATACCTTGGCTTTTTCCATTTGATCCTTGAAGATTAAAGATGACTTCCGGGATGCGAGTACATCTGAAGGCAGCTTTGTAGCCGAGACAGATATCTACTGGAGGTTATCACAATATTTCCATTGCAGCTGCATTGGTCCATCTGACACGATGCTTTTCAGTTGTCAATGCAGCAGCTAACAGCAGCCTGATTCTTGCTTGTTCAATGTTATCTAGGATCCTTGTGACGTCCCTACCCTAAACCATAACACATACATACCCCTTCCCAGAGTCTTGCCCTGGTCTGGAGAGCATCGTTCATAGATGTATTTTAACAAGATCGGCATGTGCATTCTAGCCCTTCTATCTCCATCTAGAGTCCAACTCTAGTTTTCAGGGCAGGTTATACAGTATAAATGAATGAGATTGATGAAGAACATGTATTTAATATCTGCTCATGCAGCTGTTTTGAAGAATATTTGTAGCTAATACATTGTGAAGAAAATAAAACTAAAATCAACATAATGTGTAATAGGCCTACTCACAACACGTGAACAAAAAATGTAGTTAAATTGTATTCTCAGATGGCAGAGAATCAAGACAAAAATACAAAGCACATGGAAATCAACTCTTTATTATACATGCACATAAATTATTGTGATAATGACTACAACAGTGTCTGGAAGGAAAAAGAGATGTCAATTAAGTGATTGATGATAGTTTACATACAAACATAGTCAGTTAGCCTAACAGTATCATATGTGCTATAATGGTATCATATCTCAATTCAGATATCTGTAAACATTTGGAATGATTTTCAGTTTGCCAGAACAGATATATTTTCCAAGAGCTTTCGAAGTTACAGCTCACCAGGCAGAGAACAGTAATATTTTGCTAGAAACAAAATAACACAACAGAAGACAATGGTATATTTGTTTTCATACCCAGGAGATTTGGATATTAGTAGATAACTACCAGGGTAGGCTACCACTAAACATTTTATAAAGAGCCGAAGCTTAGCTCAGTGCTATTTCTGTCTCATTTCCATGTGACAGCACTGAACAGTATGGGGTTTTAACCAATCTGGAAAAAAAGTAAAATATCCTCCAGTGAAGGGGTGGCATTTTCGGATTAATGATCTCTAATTGAATCAGATCAAAAGATACATTACCCTATAGAGGAAATGCTTAAGGCCAACATAGGCCCTTATAAGATAACAAAACAACTCTGATAAACAGTTGTCTCCACTTTTACAACCTGCCAGAAATCTCTTAACAGAAACTATCACATAGACAGCAGTTATATGAAGATAAAAATAATTAACACATTTAAGTCAACATGCCTGCATGTTAAATATACCTACTGAAAAGTGTGATCAATCTCACATTCCTTACAAAATAAAGACAGCATTTGCATAAACATCTGGTGAATACATTTCTTCCAACAATGGGCTTCAACATGGAGGGGGGGAGGGGGGGAATGGCACATTATTCCATAATGAAACAGGCCTAAAGTATTAGCTCCATAATAAGGATTTTAACTACTGTATCTTTCAGTTTTGATAATTGTGCTCATTAGTGGATCACCAGTACCTCTAAAATGACTTGATTGTCAGATATAAGTAACATAAATAATTTTGACACAATCTGTATGTGCTCAGCACACCTAATATGTGGTAATGACATTGAAAGTATGAATATCAAAAGATCTCAAATTAAATCAGAATATCAGTGTGCAATATACTGTAGTAGAGAATGTTTTTCTCTTTTGCAAAAGCTGCATCATGGAGTTGACAATTTGCCTCACTTCCATCATCTGGTTAAACTATTATTGCCATTTTAAAATCAAATAAAGGAATGGCCTGTGCTTTGATCTGACCATATTAAATTGATTTCTTTGTGTTTGATGTAAGACAGTTTTAATGTCAACAACAAGATAAGGATGATATTGATCATATTGGAATGGCTTTGGTCATGGTGATGAAGTATTTGTTCTAGTATGGAATGTGCTGTTGACTCCATCTGGTGGCCATATAGAGCAGCTGCGCTGCAATCCAGCCATTGATTCAACTAATTATTACTAAGTAACCACAGCCTTTTTTAGTTTACTCAACTTTTCAATCAGTGTTACCTGAACTTAACATTTTTAGTTGGTCCAAATTTAGCTCCAATTTGAGAGAAATTCAGTCAACTTAAAATTGTGTTTGCTCAACTTGTCTCAGATGTTCATTCAACTATAAATGATTATTTCTTCACTAAAAAAGGCTGTGTAACTAGTTACACACACATGGTGCTTTTGACATAATGTTTTCAACTTACACGTAGTCCCCTGTAGCTTACAACGCCAGGGTTGTGGGTTCGTTTCCCACGGGGGGCCAGTATGAAAATGTATGCACTCACTAACTGTAAGTCGCTCTGGATAAGAGCGTCTGCTAAATGACTGAAATAAAATAAATAAATACATGTTTGATACACGTTAACATACATGATTACATTGTGCATGTTTATTTATACAGTAATTATTATTCAACATGTCATCATCTGGGATTTTGAACTCACAATCTCTTGGTTCACAGCATACTGATCTTCCTGCTACGCCACCATGTCTGTGTCAATCACTGATTTCACCTGTATTGCTACACTTTGCACTTCAAAGTAAATCACATCTCTGTTAAAAGTACACTCAAGTAAAACTATTCTATTTACACTACTTGACCAAATGTATGTGGACATCTGCTCATCAAACATCTCATTCCAAAATCATGGCCATTAATATGGAGTTGGTCCCCCCTTTGCTGCTATAACAGCCTCCACTCTTCTGGGAAGGCATTCCACTAGATGTTGGAACATTGCTGTGGGGACGTGCTTCCATTCAGCCACAAGCGCATTAGTGAGGTCCAATTCATCCCAAAGTGTTCCATGGGGTTGAGGTCAGGGCTCTGTGAAGGCCAGTCAAGTTCTTCCACACCGATCTCAACAAACCATTTCTGTATGGACCTTGCTTTGTGCACAGGGGCATTGTCATGCTGAAACAGGAAAGGGCCTTCCCCAAACTGTTGCCACAAAGTTGGAAGCACAGAATCGTCTAGAATGTAACTGTATGCTGTAGCGTTAAGATTTCCCTTCACTGGAACTAAGGGGCCTAGTCCGAACCATGAAAAACAGCCCCAGACCATTATTCCTCCTCCTCCAAACTTTACAGTTGGCACTATGCATTGGGCAGGTAGCATTCTCCTGGCATCTGCCAAACCCAGATTAGTCCGTCGGACTGCCAAATGGTGAAGCGTGATTCATCACTCCAGAGAACGCGTTTCCACTGCTCCAGAGTTCAATGGCGCCGAGCTTTACACCACTCCAGCCGACACTTGGCATTGCGCATGGCGATCTTAGGCTTGTGTGTGGCTGCTCGGCCATGGAAACCCATTTCATGAAGCTCCCGACGAACAGTTATTGTGCTGACGTTGCTTCCAGAGGCAGTTTTGAACTCAGTAGTGAGTATTGCAACAGAGGACAGAGGATATATTTAAGCGCTTCAGCACTCTGCGGTCCCATTCTGTTAGCTTGTGTGGCCTACCACTTCGCAGCTGAGCCATTGTTGCGCCTAGACATTTCCACTTCAAAATAACAGCACTTACAGTTGACCGGGGCAGCTCTAGCAAGGCAGAAATTTCACAAACTGACTTGTTGGAATGATGACATGATTTACACCTGTCAGCAACGGGTGTGGCTGAAATAGCCGAATCCACTAATTCAAAGGGGTGTCCACATACTCTTGTATATATAGTGCATCATAGTGATTAAGGAGTAACATAAAAAAATTATAATATGCCCCACAAACATTAGACAACTATAAAGAAAACCCTAAAATTGCTTAAATAAGTAAATCAATGATGAGAGAATAGTCAGATTAACTGACAAATGGCACAGACATGGTGGTGTAGCAGGAAGATCGGAATGCATTGAACCAAAAGGTAGTAAGTTCAAATCCCAGGTGAGGACATGTTGAATAATAATTACTGTATAAATGCACAATGTAATTGTGTGTCATATGTAAGTTGAAAACAAAATAACTGTGTGTGTGTGTGTGTGTAACTAGTTCCAAAGCCTTTTTCTTTTTAAATGCTCAAATAATAATTTATAGTTGAATAAACATGAGACAAGTTGAGCAAACACATCATTTTAAGTTGACTGAATGTATGCCTAAGCTTTCTCAAGTTGGAGCTAAGTTTGGACCAACTAAAAATGTTAAGTTTAGGTAACAATTTGACCAGAAAGTTGAGTAAATTAAAAAAGGCTGTGGAACCAGTTACTTATAATAATTAGTTGAAACACATTTTTTTTTTTTTTTTTTACAGTGCAGTGTTCATTAGCTCCTGCAGCAGCCATTCTTGGTCACAGCCAACAATTCACCATGGGGAAGGCATCATTTTGTCAAATTCTCCTAAGATGGAAATGTCCATGCTCCTGCTATACTTCAGTGGAGAAGAGGATGCTTTGACGTTTGCTGTCCGGTGTTGGGATGCTCTCAAGCTGAAGGAAATACAGTAGGACCTGTACCTACAGAAACAGAAGGGGAGGAGGGACAGAGCAGAGGAAAGGGATTATTAGAATCATAGCACAGATTAATGGGCTCTACGAATACACCACATGACCAGAAGTATGTGAACACCTGCTCGTCGAACATCTCATTCCAAAATCATGGGCATTAATATGGAGTTGGTCCCCCCTTTGCTGCCATGACAGCCTCCACTCTTCTGGGAAGGCATTCCACTAGATGTTGGAACATTGCTGTGGGGACTTGCTTCCATTCAGCCACAAGCGCATTAGTGAGGTCAGGCACTGATGTAGGGCGATTAGGCCTGGCTCGCAGTCGACGTTCCAATTCATCCCAAAGGTGTTAGATGGAGTTGAGGTCAGGGCTCTGTGCAGGCCAGTCAAGTTCTTCCACACCGATCTCGACAAACCATTTCTGTATGGACCTCGCTTTGTGCACGGGGGCACTGTCATGCTGAAACAGGAAAGGACGTTCCCCAAACTGTTGCCACAAAGTTTGAAGCTCAGAATCCTCTAGAATGTCATTGTATGCTGTAGCGTTAAGATTAAGAACTAAGGGGCCTAGCCCGAACCATGAAAAACAACCCCAGACTATTATTCCTCCTCCACCAAACTTTACAGTTGGCACTATGCATTCGGGCAGGTAGTGTTCTCCTGGCATCCGCCAAACCCAGATTCGTCCGTCAGACTGCCAGATGGTGAAGCGTGATTCATCACTCCAGAGAACGCGTTTCCACTGCTCCAGAGTCTAATGGCGGCGAGCTTTACATTACGCTTTGGCATTGCACATGGTGATCTTAGTCTTGTGTGCGGCTGCTCGGCCATGGAAACCCATTTCATAAAGCTCCCGACGAACAGTTCTTGTGCTGACGTTGCTTCCAGAGGGAGTTTGGAACTCAGTAGTGAGTGTTGCAACCAAGGACAGACATATTCTTACGCGCTACTTGCTTCAGCACTCGGCAGTCCCGTTCTGTAAGCTTGTGTGGCCTACCACTTCACTGTTGAGCCGTTCTTGCTCCTAGACGTTTCCACTTCAAAATAACAGCACTTACAGTTGACCGGAACAGCTCTAGCAGGGCAGAAATTTGACGAACTGACTTGTTGGAAAGGTGGCATCCTATGACAGTGCCACGTTGAAAGTCACTGAGCTCTTCAGTAAGGTCATTCTACTGCCAGTGTTTGTCTATGGAGATTGGATGGCTGTGTGCTCGATTTTATACACCTGTCAGCAACGTGTGTGGCTGAAATAGACGAATCTACTCATTTGAAGGGGTGTCCACATACTTTTGTGTATATATAGTGTACCTCAATCTACCTCAGCAACAAAATCAACATTGAAGCTTACTTTCAATAGACACTATAGTACCTGTGACATAACCTCCAGTGACCAGCTGTCATTCATAGTGATGGGCTGTGTGGCATTGGCTGGGATCTTGCTGTCTTTCTCAGAGGGGCGGAGCAGGGTGGGGCCAAAGACCGTGGCCAGGTTGTGGAAAGACATCTTGTTAGCGCTCTCATTATCAGCAATCCTGTAATAACACAGATGATATCAAAAGTGTCAGCTTGTGGGATGCAGAGAAAAAGGAAGGAGAGATTAGCAAGAGGATTTGAATGACAGATCTGTGACTGAATGACAGATCTGTGACTGTATTCATGTGACAGGATATAACATGATGCCACTGTGGGGGACTATACCTCTTCAGGTGGTCCAGCAGGAAGAGGAAGGTGACCAGGTTGGGTTCTGGGAGTGATAGCAGAAGGTTCAGCATACAGCTCTCCTTAGCCACACTGTCTGACAGGGCTGAAAGAGGAGGATACAATTAGTTAGCTTTGTTGTGGTAACTGTACTACCTGATTTATGTTTAATGGTTTGTTAAATTTCACGCTTATTATGTTGTATTCAATATGACAATATGAAATGCAATGGTAGGCTTTTTTGAGGTTCCAAGGAGAGACTGACCGATGCCTCCAGCAAAGTTGGGGTACAGGTCATCTGTTAAAAGAGGTTCCGGCAGCTCACGGAAATACAGTTTCAGTGTTCCAGCAATGGCATTCACATCCATCTCACTCATCATCACCGACACATCATTATTGTCTGTCAATCAGAGGAATGAAATTAATGATAAATGTGGGGAACAGTAAGCTGCAAGACGGTATGAATAATAGTAATCCATACATTTCATTGTATAGCCTATGCTGTATTTTTTGCAGGTTAGAGTTTTTCGTAATTAATCTTGTTCTGGAGGCAGCTCTGCAGTGCTCACTAGCTGGCACAGCCACAAGTCACAAAATCTGATTAACGTTATATTAAGAACAAAAAGCAAATGTTTGTTTTCATGAAATTTTACAATATAGCCAATTTTGACTTTGCAGCTGGCCTATCTAAGGGGAAATCGCTCAGTTCTGCCTACAGGACAAGACTCATGACAATAAACGTCAACCTGCATATCATTTGCTATAAAGGAGATCCAAGGTCGGTGTTCTTACTGGCATCAAATGCAGCCTTCAGGGCCTGGATGTCTGTAGCCACCCCCGAGACCCGGTAGATTCCCACCTCCTCCATGCCCCGGCGCTCTATCTCCTCTACACACTGCTTCACGATAAGGGGCACCTTGGACCGCTCCCGTCTGTCAAAGTCACACACACACACACACTCTGCAGGATTAAAACAGGATCAATGCAGGAAACGAGAAGTCTAGTGCTTTACACTAATGATACCTGTGACTGCATAACTGGGTGTCTCATTTCTGACTACACACCTGGTGTTTTTCTGTTGTGGTATTGCATAAACTACACTACCAGTCAAAAGTTTGGACACCTACACATTCAAGGGTTTTTCTTTATTTTTACTATTTTTTACATTGTAGAATAATAGTGAAGACATCAAAACTATGAAATAACACATATGGAATCATGTAGTAACCAAAAAAGTGTTAAACTAATCAATATATATTTTATATTTGAGATTCTTCAAATAGCCACGCTTTGCCTTGATGACAGCTTTGCACACTCTTGGCATTCTCTCAACCAGCTTCATGAGGCAGTCACCTGGAATGCATTTCAATTAACAGGTGTGCCTTCTTAAAAGTTAATCTGTGGAATTTCTTTCCTTCTTAATGCGTTTGAGCCAATCAGTTGTGTTGTGACAAGGTAGGGGGGTATACAGAAGATAGCCCTATTTGGTAAAAGACCAAGTCCATATTATGGCAAGAACAGCTCAAATAAGCAAAGAGAAACAACAGTCCATCATTACTTTAAGACATGAAGGTCAGTCAATATGGAACATTTCCAGAATTTTGAAAGTTTCTTCAAGTGCAGTCGCAAAAACCATCGAGCGCTATGATGAAACTGGCTCTCATGAGGACCGCCACAGGAATGGAAGACCCAGAGTTACCTCTGCTGTAGAGGATAAGTTCATTAGAGTTACCAGCCTCAGAAATTGCAGCCCAAATAAATGCTTCACAGAGTTCAAGTCACAGACACATCTCAACATCAACTGTTCAGAGGGGACTGTGTGAATCAGGCCTTCATGGTCGAATTGCTGCAAAGAAACCACTACTAAAGGACACCAATAAGAAGAAGAGACCTGCTTGGGCCAAGAAACATGAGCAATGGACATTAGACCGGTGGAAATGTGTCCTTTGGTCTGGAGTCCTAATTGGAAATGTTTGGTTCCAACTGCCGTGTCTTTGTGAGACGCGGTGTAGGTGAACGGATGATCTCCGCATGTGTATTTCCCACCGTAAAGCATGGAGGAGGTGGTGTTATGGTGTGGGGGTGCTTTGCTGGTGACACTGTCTGTGATTTATTTTGAATTCAAGGCACACTTAATCAGCATGGCTACAACAGCATTCTGCAGCGATACGCCATCCCATCTGGTTTGGGCTTAGTGGGACTATTATATGTTTTTCAACATGACAATGACCCAACACACCTCCAGGCTGTGTAAGGGCTATTTGACCAAGAAGGAGAGTGATGGATTGCTGCATCAGATGACCTGGCCTCCACAATCCCCCAACCTCAACCCAATTTTCCTTCACTCTGAGTCGGAACGCAGAGTGAAGGAAAAGCAGCCAACAAGTGCTCAGCATATGTGGGAACTCCTTCAAGACTGTTGGAAAAGCATTCCAGCTAAAGCTGGTTGAGAGAATGCCAAGTGTGCAAAGCTGTCATCAAGGCAAAGGGTGGCTATTTGAAGAATCTCAAATATAAAATATATCTTGATTTGTTTAACACTTTTTTGGTTACTACATGATTCCATGTGTGTTATTTCATAGTTTTGATGTCTTCATTATTATTCTACAATGTAGAAAATAGTAAAAAATAAAGAAAAACCCTTGAATGAGTAGGTGTGTCCAAACTTTTGACTGATACTGTATATCAAGAGCATTTTTCTGTTTTCTGTTCTAATACCTGTTCCCAAGAATGTAAAACCTATTCCCAAGAATGTAAAACCTGTTCCCCAGTATGTAAAACCTATTCCCCAGTATGTAAAACCTATTCCCCAGTATGTAAAACCTATTCCCCAGTATGTAAAACCTATTTCCCAGTTTGTAAAACCTATTCCCCAGTATGTAAAACCTGTTCCCCAGTATGTAAAAACCGTTCCCCAGTATGTAAAACCCGTTCCCAGTATGTAAAACCCGTTCCCAGTATGTAACACCCGTTCCCAGTATGTAAAAACCGTTCCCCAGTATGTAAAACCCGTTCCCAGTATGTAAAACCCGTTCCCAGTATGTAAAACCCGTTCCCAGTATGGCCGCTGCCTTCTTTTTACTAGTAGAGTAAAGCGAACACTGAGAAAGACATCCATCCTTCAGTATTGCATCTTCAGCACTATAAAATGATGTTTTCTCAAATAGACCCTGCCCATAAGGGGCTGGAGTTTAGAGTTATTTTACACATTATCATGAGAGCCTTGTGCTCCCTGTGAAAATAGAAAAACCCAAACAAGGCATGTCTTTGAGAGTTATTCCTGGCCTTCCATTGAAAGTGAAGGAGGTTGGAAGAGGTATCCCATTCATTTGACAATTTTAGGTCTGATATGTGTTGGTCACAGAAATGTGGTATGCATTACACTGAGGCTCTCATGACAGGCTTAACATGAGCTGATTTGGTTCTGGGTGCCGAGATTATACAGGGGCTAACAAAGACACATTATTCACTCACTTGGTTACAACACTTATTTTCACCCCAAACACGCCTGACTGTTTCCGCGAGGGCATTCTCTTTAGACTGAACTCTCTGGTGGTGAACTTCATTGACAGCTTCACCTCAATCTGTACCAAGAGAAGTTAAGAATTAGCCAGCAGTCAGAGAAATGAAGACCATTGCATGTAACCTCATCAACACTGTAAATGTAAATACAGGGGGCACACTTAATATTGAAAAGTATTTATACCACAGTATTGATCAGTGGAAAAACCCATGTAATTACCATGTTATACAGGCCTACATAACTTATCCAACAATGGTTACACTGGCCACTGGAGTATAAAGTGGTGCCAAAACTGTCCCTTTGCAAAACAAAAAATGTAAGACAGTGTGGTTTCGGAGAGATTTGTGAAAAACAGTGATGATTTAGCATTTCCTTAGGCTGGTAATACGTACCCCGTTCATGGTGATGACTGTTCTTTGCCAGTCTTTGCTTTGTAGGGTCTGGGGATCCAGCTGGAAAATATGGAGACATATGTCAGTCAGAGCAATCATCTGACCCAGTAAACACAAACTGCTCAGACAGACACTGAATGGACACCATGATGGTGTAGGACTGATTCTGTCTTTATCTCAGTACAGACATGTTATAGTACTGTACTAATGAAATCCATTTCATTATTAAGAACCAATGAGATATTTAAACCACTCAAAATCCTGCTTTGTATGAATGTTTAGCACAGTTAGCCTCTTGATCCTTTTCAATTTATCAGAGACTAAAACAAAGTATAAAAATAAAAATAAACGTTCAATGAAACTGTCCATATTAGATTGGAAATGATAATTTCACAGATGAAAAGCTAGAAATGGACAAAAGGATGGATTCAATAATCAGCAAGCCTGGGTCTGATCTCCAATCAGCAAGCCTGGGTCTTACATATCAGTTACCCATCACTTTCCCTCATCCTTACATAAACTCCATATGGTTGGGTAGTGTCAACTCAAGTCACTGTGCTATTTTAATCATCTGACTAATACCAAGCTGCCAACAGTTATTTGTAGTGATCAGGCACGAGTGTTGTGATAACATCATCTCCTGGTATTCAGATTATCTAACATGACAGATGTCCTCTCACCCAAGGAACCAACAGATACTCAATATAACTCAGATAATCTTAATCTTTTTGTTCTGTGGACATCTTCTTACATAATGCAGTGGACTTATCAAAAGAGTATTAAGTATGAGAATATAACACATTCAAGGATACTTAAAATATGTACCAACTAAGGATATATGTACATATTAAAATATCTACCCTACCCTCTATTAATATTCCTAACCAAAGACCATCCGCGACAACAATAAAGAAAGCCCATTCTCTCTCTTATGTGTGCTATGTCTTTACCTTCTGTCTGAGCAGAGTGCTGCGGACCCTGCCCCACAGCCGTGCCCCTGTGCCTGGGGGCTTCCTGGGACCTGTGTCCCCCTCATCCTCCAGAGAACAGCTGCTAGTGAACTGACTGCTGGTCTGATCCAGGATCAGCTCTTCAGTACAGGTCTCACCCATATTTCTAGTTGAGACTCAGTCGCTCACTCTATTTTCACCACTAATGTACTGTACCAAACAATGGGACAAACAAAACAAGGCAGCAGTCATGAAAATAATCTTCCAAATCAGCCACTCTCTCCTAAACAATCCCCAACAAACAGCATGGGATTGGATCCCTCTGATCTGATATGGTTATTGCATCGTCTCAAAGAATCCTGAGGCCCGCATAGCCCTTCAGTGGTCCAGTAGAGTCCCCCGCAAGTGTGTGTGTGTCCTGTCAACTTCCTAAACCTGTCATGCCATCGATCCTTCCACACCAGATAAAAAAATAAGTTGAACAAAGGCAGCCTCTCGACCACGCTGCCTCCCTGTTGTCCCAGTTCCCAGATGGATCTGTGGATTAACTCCTGAGAATCCCCTCCTCCTGTGATTATGGACGCACGCTGGCGGAAGCGCAGAGGTTGTTATGAGGACTGCAGGGTGGGTATACAACCCCAGGCCTCCTACAGCATCCTCATTGGTCACCAGTTGGTAGATCTGTTTTGGGTCTACTGGCTCCTCCTAACTGAGTGCCTTTGTCTGACCCTTTCTCCTTTCAGCCAAACCCTCCCACATCTGATCCATCTCTTTTTAATCCCCAAACATTTGGGCACACATGCACACACAATGTTCAGACTGCCTCTCCAATCAGCACTTATCTCAAATTCCACAAACAGATCAGACCCAGGCCAGAGGGTCACACACAATTGAATTGCTGTGTGGGACCACGTTGGCTGTGGATTGTTTAAAAAAAAGACAAAGGAAACAGTACATTGTCTATTCAAAAGACAAACATACAATGTTCTCTATTGGGTGTTTTCAGGGTTCTTCTAAGAGGGGTCCCTCTCTGTCTCACTTCCACTGGATGGATCTGTGCCTGGGGCTACATTTGGTCAGCCTGTTTCCCTTCCCAACTGTAATCCCCACTCTGTCACAACACCCCATTACCAGTCAGGCTGAGGTGACCCAGCAGCGACCCCACAACCCTTTTCCTTTTCCACACCACAGAACCACACATGGTGGGATTATCCACAAACAGGGCAGCTATTAGGGCTGGCATACTAGATAAGTCATTTTCACCACTGTGGCCTATTAGTTAATTCAGCTATGTCACTGTTGACACTGTAGACCGGTGTGACAGGCAACACTAAATGTGCTTCATACTCTCACACCGTACCTGTATCTGTCCTTTGGCCATGATTCTGTCTGTGTTCTCTCCGTCCTCCTTGTTTTGCCTGGCTTTGTTGTAGCATTTCTCATAGCACAGCAACCTCAGAGTCTGAGAGCCTTCCAGCTCAATCTCAAACTCCTGCAGGGAAACAGCAAAAAAACACATAAGAGACAATTCAGCAGATAAGGCTGAATATACAGGACACTTTAGTTCTGAGTGTTAACTGACACGTGGAATCCTCACCTCGTTCCACTTGGGTTCTGTGGAGTCTCTGTACACACGTGTCTTGGCTTTGTTCACAAAGTAGCCAAAGGACTCCACCTCCAGAGTGCAGTAGAGATCTGTGTGGAAAAAGAAACAGTTCATGGGAGTTAGATTGGTTAATGAGGGATACACACTGAGTCACAGTACGACCTGTATGGAGGAGTATACATGTACTTTTCCCTACACTGTTAAACCATACTTTATAACTATCCTCATAATAGAACTTGCCATGCCCTCTGAATCTGGTAAGAATTGAGGAAAATATTTCCCGTCCAGAGCAAGATTACATCTGGATTAACAGGTCAGATTTTTTATAAAATAAGAGGTACTGTATGCATGTGAGCTGTATGCTTGACTGCATTTGGGACAAAGAGTGAGACGACAGGGGTTTTCCATCCAGACCGGACCACAGTGTTCCTTGTTAATCCTCAGAGTTCTGACTGTTCCCCAGCAGCTGCTCCACATGGGAATGTCTGCTGACTGCCAGGTGACAGCCGGACAGGAGGAGACTGACAGCGGAAGGGAAGGACAACCTTGGCTATACTCCATTCAAGGTGATCAGGGTAGGACACCAACAATCTGGGGAAAATACACAACTGAGCCACTTACTCAAGCTCTGTTTGAGTCCTGATGCAGAGTGAACAATGACATTCAGAAAACCGTAGAGTCCAGACGATTCATCTTCTAAAGAGAGAGGAGAGCGAATAGTCATGAGTTGTTCAATCAAAAACAATACTAATAAACATCTCCCTCTCTTATTATTAATAAGTGTGACATTACTGACCAGCCTTCCATCCTTCCCAATACTGTATCAGTTGTGTCTATGGCCTACCTTCTTTATTCATGGTCATTGGTATAGTATGGACCGTCTGAAGCTTCACACATGAGTTGGTGAGCATCTGCAGCTCCAGAGAGGTCAGAGAGAAGCTTTTGAAACCTGCAGGAGGGAATGGAGTTCAGAGAGAGACTGACAGCCACCATCAGCTTAATCATGGGATTGTCACAAGCATAGCTTATGTTGCAGAGAACACTCACACTTCTTCTGTTGCTCCCGGATGATCTCCCTCCACTCCGCACGTTCGTAATCCGACGAGATAAGGAATGTGAAGCCCTGAAACACACAAAGGAACATGTAGCCCTCTGCTGTACAACACAATAGTCATCTTAGCAATGCTGTACCACATCTCTACACCTGTAGGTGGCAGCAGACCCTGAAACAAAATATTTCACAGTACAAACAATGAGCTGTGTAGTTGTTAGATATGACCTTGCAGGACCATAGGTGCAGAGAGAGAGTAAGCAGTCAGTGGCTGGCTCACCTTGCCGTTCCTGTTGGCCACTCTGAAGGCCATGCTGGGGGACATGAGCAGCAGCAGAGACTCCTGCTCCGACAGCTTCTTCCTCAAACGCTCTATCGCCTTCCCTCCTTTAGTGGTTCTCTGCACATACACATTCAGAAGAAGAGCACTCAGACAGCTGCTGCCATCTCAATGTATAGCACTGTCTCAGTCATTAATGTCTCCTTCTCTTATGAAGCCATGATCTAGTCAAGTGTTTCAACATTATTATAATAAAGTGATCAGTTATAACACTACAGGGATTTCCCCTCTTTCTGAAGTCTGTTGTCACCTTCTCTCTCTGGAGCTCGTTCTTGATCTGTGAGATTCTGATCTTCATGGCGTCAATCTCCTCGTCCTGGACCTGGGGGATGGGCGTGGCCTCCGAGTCCTCAATGGTCTGGAAGGTGAGGTCTGATAGTGGGATGTACCACTTACACTCATACTGCTGGCCTTTCCTGGAGACAAAAGGAACACACACACACAGGAACCATCAAACAACACACACACAGGTAAGGAACACCACACAGACAGGATATGACACAAACCATCTGGTCCATCGGTAAATCTACACTCACCCTGCAGTCTGTTTCTTCAGCTTGGCACAGAGTAGTAAGTCTGTGAAGAGGAAGACGTGGCGAAGCTTTCTGGATCCCTCCACCAGCTCCACCATGAAGCAGTCCCTCAACAGCTGACGGTTCTACAGGGGCAAAACAGGGAATCACACATTCATTGGATATTTTATCTATTCATATTTGCTAGAATTTGTTACCATACCACCAGAGCGTGAACATTTCTTCATGTAAGGTCGTTTTCCAGTAATTTCCCTGTCAAGTTACTTTCACAATATCTGATCCCATCACATTCAGCCAATGAGAGCTGCTCCTCAGGCAGCTGACCCTTAACCCCCTCATCAAATCAAATTTTATTTGTCACATGCGCCAAATACAACAGGTGTATTTCACCTTACGGTGAAATGCTTACTTACAAGCCCTTAACAAACAATGCAGTTTTAAGAAAAAAAGAGTTAAGAAAAAATATTTACTAAATAAACTGAAGTAAAAAGGAACAGAGCAACAATAAAATAACAATAACGAGGCTATATACAGGGGGTACCGGTACCGAGTCAATGTGCGGGGATACAGGTTAGTCGAGGTAATTGAGGTAATATGTGCATGTAGGTAGGGGTAAAGTGACTATGCATTGATAATCAACAGCGAGTAGCAGCAGCGTAAAAAAAAAAAGGGGGGGGGTCAATGCAAATAGTCCGGGTATCATTTTACATTTACATTTTAGTCATTTAGCAGACGCTCTTATCCAGAGCGACTTACAGTTAGTGAGTTCATACATTTTCATACTGATTAGTATCCATTTGATTAGCTGTTCAGCAGTCTTATGGCTTGGGGGTAGAAGCTGTTCAGAAGCCTTTTGGATCTAGACTTGGCGCTCCGGTACCGCTTGCCATGCGGTAGCAGAGAGAACAGTCTATGACTAAGGTGGCTGGAGTCTCATTCAATTAATTATCTGTTGACAGAACACAGATTATACACAGAACACAGAATCAGTAGTCATCGAGTGTGTTTCATAAACAATGAATGTACTCTGATGACTCACGTGACTAGGGTTGCAAAATTTCGGGAACTTTCAATAAATTCCCTGGTTTTCCCGAAATCCCGGTTGGAGGATCAGGAGGGAATAAGCGTTTTGTCACTCATTTTGTGGTACTGAGTCCCTACTGTCCAAGCAGCCAGAGACAGTAGCAGCTGCATGCCAGCATAGGCCTACTGGTCTTTTGGTATGTCAAAATTGCTTGAAATTGATGATTTACTTGCATTTGGAATTTGTTGTTAAAATGAATTATTGCATAATCAAAATGTTTTGTAGACGAAATAATGAAAAGAGCCCTCTGGTAGTCTCAATAAATAGACAAAGATTTGTAGTTGGGCATTGTCATTGAATGTATAGATATTTTTTTCTTGACTTGAAAAAACTTGTGACTCGACTCACTCTTAGAATGCACAACTTAGACTTGACTCGAAACTCGACCCATTCTACTTTGAGACTCAGACCTTGAGACTTGCTTGTAACTCGAATAATAGTCAATTGGTCCCACCTTTGCTGAATAGTAACATAATATTTTAGCAATGATCTGAGCTGACAGTAGTCTGTTTGTTCTGCAAAATAACAAACTTCTAGAGGCTGCTGGAATAAAGATAGTCTCTTCTCATAAATAAACATCTGTCCTCAAACAAATTTGAGACCTGGTTGTAAAAAGTGTAAATGAAAGACGTCAAATTATCAAAGAGCCAGTGTTTACAGGAATAGATCCTAATAATCCTGCCTGGTCGGCCAGTCCAGTGGGCGGTTGGTGACTGGTGCAGTGACATCTGCTCTTCCTGTGGCCAGAGCGGGGCTGTGGATGCATGGACTGTTTATACTGACCTTTGACCCTATGGGCTGAAAGCTGCTTATAAATATAAAAATAACACGCACATGGGACTCTACCAATCCATCCTAACCACATTTAAGCAAAAACAAGGAAAACTCCACCAGGGAGATGCCCTCGGATGGTCATCGGTTACTTTCTGACATAGTCATCCTCCATTTTGAGATATCTGATGACAAAATTGGTAAAATAAGCACAACTAAACCGAAACCTGGATTTCAATCACCACAGTAAGTTTATGCAGTTAGCTACCAAACTCCAGTCACTTACAAGTACTACATTTATTTTGCCTTTAGCAAATACAGGCCTATGAATTGTGGAATACTACAATAGAGCCAACCCATACAGAAATGTAATTTGTCTGAGTTCAATTCTCACGTTCACTTATGGTAAGAAGTCTGATGGACATAGTTGGACCGGTTTCCAGTAATAATAGATGACATTCAGCAGGGGTGAGGGAGTGAGGGTAAGTAAGTAGGACGTCCCTCCACGGGAAAGGGTGGACAGATACTTGATAAGACGTGCTAAAGGTCATTTCTGGGAAGCAGACTTCAGAGTGGGACAGGAGGATGGAAGTGGGGGAGCCAGGACAAGGACGTAGGCGGTGCCATGGGCTTTCCTGGTCAGAACCATGGAAACCCTTGGCCTCCCTGTTTATATTATTTTGTCATGAGCTTCCTCTACGCTCCATTTCCTCCACTAATAAACCAGACAGGCAGAGATGACTCAGCAGGAATCTGACTCACAATGCAGGTTTATTGGACACACCGTTCCCCTGGCTTTTACTGTTTATACTGCTTTTACAGGAACTGAGAAGCACTGATTGGCTAATTTACAGTAACCCTCAGATGCCTAATGTATGGCTCTGAACCTGTGTTGCTTGGTGGAATCTCTATCTTATTATGCAATCTACCCAACTAACTACTGTACTGTAACTGTCTGAATAGACAAGAAAAGACTGGTGATTCCTCATTTTGACACAAGCTGTGTAATTGGACACTATTTTGCTCATGAATTTGTGCAGTGTGACATCAAAGTGTCTGAAATGAAGCCAAGTATGAAAGCATTATAAGGGAGGTCCAGATAGCCACAGGGCCAGGTCGGGGTGTCTGTGCGCCTCTATAGCCGTGTTCACATTGGCAGTTTGAAGTGACTCAAATCCTATTTATTTGCATATCCGATTCGAATCTGTTATTTTCCTGCAGTCTGAAAAGCAAAAAAGCACACGGAATCGGATATTTCAAGCCACATGTCAAATACAAATCTGATTCCTGTCCATGTGAACTTGTGTCTGAATGGTCAAATCTGATTGATTTGCCCTCAAGTGGTTTTTAGACTGTTACTATGACAACTAGCGGATTTGGTCACTTGAAACTTTCTGTTTGGACAGTCAGTAGTCCAAAACGCATGTCACAGCCTGCCACACTGACCTCTCCTTCTTCACTGTCATAGACTGCCTGCGTGGGGTGATCTCCTCGTTGATGCTGGACAGGAAGTTCTGGGAGATTCTCAGGGCATCCAGCAGCAGTGGATAGTCTGGGTGGCCGGAGGGGGTGTGTTTCAACAGGTCCTGAGAGAGAGAGAGCGAGAGAGAGAGAGCGCAAGAGCGAGAAAGAAAGAAAGAAAGAAAGAAAGAAAGAAAGAAAGAAAGAAAGAAAGAAAGAAAGAAAGAAAGAAAGAAAGAAAGAAAGAAAGAAAGAAAGAAAGAAAGAAAGAAAGAAAGAAAGAAAGAAAGAAAGAAAGAAAGAAAGAAAGAAAGAGAGAGAGAGAGAGAGAGAGAGAGAGAGAGAGAGAGAGAGAGAGAGAGAGAGAGAGAGAGAGAGAGAGTAGCGAGGAGAGAGAGAAAGAAAGAATAAGAGTAAAAGAGAGAAAGAGTAAGAAAGGAAGAGAAAGTGAGAGAGAGAAAGAAAAAGAGATAGAAAGAGGAGAAAGAGAGATAGAAAGAGGAGCGAGAGAGAGTGAAAGAAAGCGAGCGAGCGAGAGAAAGAAGATGAATTAATTTTAGTTAAATGATTACTTCTTAAGATATGTGAAGCATTGTTTTCATAGACAAAATCAGAAATTCAGGTCCAAAGGGGAAAAACCTTCAGTGTGTTGATTTGACTTACATGCAGAACCAGGGTGCTGCGGGTGACTCTGTCCACGGGTTTGTAGAGCAGAGCTGAGGGGGAGAGGGTCATAAAGTATATAAAGGCAGGACAAGGCAAAGCAGAACTAACAACATAGGACACCTTGAGGTTGAGGGTCATATTCACTATGCTTTAATTAAGCATGTACCACTCTTTCTGAATTCAAATAACTAGAGGGTTGAATTATTCATTGTCTTTAACTATTGATATGTAAATAAAATGTAAGGTTTAGTTCATTTGACCCTGAATTGTTCAAAATAATGAAATTGCACTTACTTTCCAGTGAATTTTTTGCCTGGTCTTTGCATTCCTTGGTGCTTCTGACCTTAAGATTCTGAGGACACAAGGAATTGAGAAAGGCATATGATATGAGTACACCATTTCAACACAGCACAGTAAGACAATTTCATAACAACAACATTTATTCTAATCTCTGTCCACCCAGCCGGCTCTGGGGACTAGGTTACATGTATTCTAACTGAAATGTTGCCCTTGTAAAAGTTGACATATACAATACAATACATACCTCACATATTTCAGCAAACTGTATGTTGGCCTGGCAACACTTGTCTGCCATCTCCACAGCAACCTTATAGTTATCCACAAAGGCCCTGTACACTCCCAGCTGGCTGGCCTATAATAGAGAGAGACAATAGAGTAGATACGATGTAGTTAACCTGCTGTTGATTCATGTACCCAGCTTTGGCTCCTGTCATACTAGTTGTGTTTTCCCTTCTCATGGTGCTGGAAATAGCGATCAGATGAGGTATGGCCTTTCAACAAAAACAGCATTAAAAACATGCATCCTATCAGTCACAATGTCCCTTTTTTTGTGACTGTGTGTGCACGCACACTCGCTGCCGCACGTGTGTGTTTGTGTTTCATGCATCTTCCTTTCCTCCACTGTCATACTGAGGGAGCTCTTTGCAGTCAGGAGCCTCTTAGTGTTTTGTCCTCCTTTACTGCCTGTTATGTGCTATAGCCAGGCTTTTATCTGTGCAGGAGATGTCTCCAGGCAGTCTGCTCACATGTGGGGTCACTGACTGTGATTGGATAAATATCTGCTTACTCACAGAACAATGCAGTTTGTGGCTGGGGAAGTCTATTTCACATGTTTTTGTACTTATGAACAAAGGAACAAAAGCACCTGGAAGAACCAACACAAAAGAGCCATAACAGCATTTCCTAGGTCTTTACACAACAATAATAAGGCTCACCAGTTTCTGGAAGAGATCACCCACACACTGGTTGTGGCTCCACTCCTGAACTCTGGGTAGCAGGGCATCGTAGAAGTCCTTGTGGATCTCATGGAGCTCTGTCACCTTGAAGAAGATGGTCTCTATCTGCTGGATGGTCAGCATCGGCTGGGAGGTAGTAGCTGCTGCCCTCAGAGGCTTCATGGGCTGGGACAATCAACACAAGACAAGCATTACTGTGAGTGTGTGTGTGTGTGTGTGTACACTGGTGGGTGGGTGTGTACATTTGCATGCATATATCCATCTGTGTGTGTCCATCCAACATGTAACATTTTACTGGCCCAACGCTTTTAATCGCTAGGCTACCTGCCACGCTGTTCATCACAGTAAGGTGTGTCATATTCAATTAGCTCAAAGTCCTGTCTCTTACCAGTAAGATAGCCCCCAGGTGGCTGAGATATGTCTCCTCACTGGCCAGGATCCCTGACAAAACCCACTTCCGCATCTCCAAGTCTTTCTCCTGAACCAGCTCTGTCTGTGTGTGAGAATGGGACTAACAGTGAATGACACAGAGAGAGAGAGAGAGAGAGAGAGAGAGAGAGAGAGAGAGAGAGAGAGAGAGAATCTTCCCTAAACCCCCTGGGTGTTCAATGAGACCTCTATACAGCTAGGAGTAGAGACTGTCCTCTCCAGGGAACCCAACACATTTGATTAAACCCTGTGGGAGATGTAGAGGGCAGAGGCCAGGGTCAAAGATCCATCGTATTGTGGAAGGAAACAACTACAGGATGGGACCTGTAGTTATTGATGGGTCAAAGGCATCAGTCAGTTAGGTTTCTGATAGTCTGTCGTCAACGAGGCTGGTGAGAGGAGGACGGCTCATAATAAAAGCTGGAATGGAGTAAATGGATCGGTATCATTTATTCCGTTCCAGCCATTACTATGAGCCCGTCTTCCCCCATTAAGGTGCCACCAGCCGCCTGTGGTCTGTCGATATGGAGCTCATTCATAGAGCACAGAGAGCAGAGCAGAAATGAATAGCTCTGACATTCCACAGCCTGAACACTAAGGGGGGCACAAGAAGAGGCCTCCCCTGGACTTAACCTTTGAAGATCAGAGAGTGGAGCACATCAGAGGAGGACGACCTAGGGGACACCGGAGATTGGCTAGGTACCGTACAGTAGGGGTGGATGAGATTTATAGGGTGAGTGAAAGTGTGGTTGGAACGAGCAGAGCATCGCTCCATTAAATGCACTCAGAGAGCCCAAGGCAGACTTATAGAGGACGGGGGCATTAACAGACTGCTACACTGGGACATGGGCTTTAAGAGTAGAAGATGGAAGTGTGTGGTAGTAGAAGTGTATAGTAGTTGGACTGGCGATAACTTTACCGACAGGGTGGACTCCAGGGAACCAGAGGAGTGTGTGTGCCGGCTGCTGCAGCTCGAGGAGGGCGAGGTGCTGAAAGGCAGGAGGTCATGATGCTGCTGGGGCTCCTCCGCCTGCTCCAGGTCATAGCCATAGGAAGGATGGGTCCCACTGTAGGGGGCTTCTGTGATAATGACACACAGATGAAGGGGGTTAGGTGTGGTAGTGTAAAATATGTTAGACAGTGGCACAGTGTGAATCTCTCTCTCTCTTCGACACCTCACTTCACACCCTTCACAGGCAAGACAACCTCTCTTCTCATCTAAAAACACCATTAATGCCTTTGAACAGGCAGATTAATTGTCGTGCTCTGTTTGACTGGAAACATAATCTCCCTCTCAAAAATACCAATCTGTATTAATATGTGTCTATATTCATCTGCTCTTTGAAATAAAAATAAATAAATAAAAAAGTGTAAAACATAATAATATTATAGTCATATAATCCTTTGTTGAGACGAGAATATGGTGCAGACACAAAAATAACCAAAATAGGTCTTACATCAAAAACAAACATAAAATAAAGTTATTCATATATGTATATCAATGGTATTATATAAAAGCTACTGTACATTCAAAATAACTCAAATGGCCCACAACTGCTGAAAATACAGCTGTGTCATTCAACCTCTAGTGTGCTCTATTCCAATACGTTCCGTGTCTCTGTGCTTCAAATCCTCTCTGATCTTCAGAGACTGTGCCAGACACACAGGACCGTCCCACAGCAGAGGATAAGCCAGGAGAATCGCAGCGAAAACTCTGATTCACTTGTGTGGTGAGGAGAAGCATTAGTCAGTCCCTCTACTCTCTGTACATACTGTAACATACTTTAACTGTACAGATGCAGCAGCAGTTCAAGGCAGCTCTTTGGTTTGTACTGTAGGTGTTAGCCACAGACCAGAAAACACCCCCTTTTATTCACAATCACAGCAAAAGCAGACATTCTGGGTGGAAGTGTTCGCAGACACAATGAAACACTGTGGTCTATTTTGATGTGTTACCTGCTGTTGTGTAGACTACATGTTTCCTCTATTATTTATCTATATATAGTATTGCATCAAAAAAGGGTTCAAACCCTGTTATTGTCACTTTGACTCACCAACAATGTCTACCATTATTGGCAGTATCTGTGTGGGAGAAGCACAAGCACCCCCAGTGCATGTAGTGATATAAGCTGTGGTGTTTGTTTGTCTGTGAGGCCTCAGTGTTGAAATAGCAGGACACTGAAATACTGTATGTTCAGAAGAGGACACACAGAGATCACTAAACTGAACAAAAATATAAAACGCAACATGTAAAGTATTGGTCCCATGCTTCATGAGCTGAAATAAAAGATCCCCGAAATTCTCCATACGCACAAAAAGCTTATTTCTCTCAAATTCTGTGCACAAATTTGTTTACGTCCCTGTTAGTGAGCATTTCTCCTTTGCCAAGATAATCCATCCACCTGACAGGTGTGGCATATCAAGAAGCTGAGTAAACAGCATGATCATTACATACTGTTGGTGCACCTTGTGCTGGGGACAATAAAAGGCCACTCTAAAATGTGCAGTTTTGTCACACAACACAACGCCACAGTTGTCTCAAGTTGAGGGAGCGTGCAATTGGCATGCTGACTGCAGGAACATCCACCAGAGCTGTTGCCAGATAATTGAATGTTCATTTCTCTACCATAAGCCGCCTCCAATGACATTTTAGAGAATTTGGCAGTACGTCCAACCGGCCTCACAACCACAGACCACATGTTACCACGGCAGCCCAGGACCTCCACATCCGGCTTCTTCACCTGCGGGATCGTCTGAGAGCAGCCACCCGAACAGCTGATAAAACTGTGGGTTTGCAGAAAACCCTGGCACCCGGCAGCTGTACCATCGTATGCCCTCGGGAGCGAGAGCCGAATCCCACTGGACCCCGGATGTACTCCAGATTGCGGTGGTCAGTCAAAATGAGAAAAGGGTGTTTAGCCCCCTCAAGCCAATGCCTCCACACTTTCAGAGCTTTATCCACAGCCAACAGCTCCCGGTCCCCCACATCATAGTTGCGCTCCGCCGGGCTGAGTTTCTTCGAAAAGAAAGCACAGGGGCGGAGTTTTGGTGGCGTACCCGAGCGCTGAGACAGTACAGCTCCTATCCCAGCCTCGGATGCGTCCACCTCTACTGTGAATGCTAAGGAGGGATCCGGATGAGCCAGCACTGGAGCCGAGGTAAACAGGTCCTTCAGGTGACCAAACGCCCTGTCCGCCTCGGCTGACCACTGCAGTCGCACCGGTCCCCCCTTCAGCAAGGAGGTAATGGGAGCCGCTACCTGACCAAAGCCCCGGATAAACCTCCGGTGGTAGTTGGCAAACCCTAAGAATCGCTGCACCTCCTTAACCGTGGTTGGAGTCGGCCAATTACGCACGGCCGAAATGCGGTCAATCTCCATCTCCACTCCTGACGCGGACAGGCGGTGCCCTAGGAAGGAGACAGACTTTTGAAAGAACAGACATTTCTCCGCCTTGACGTACAGGTCATGTTCCAACAGTCGACCAAGCAACTTGCGCACCAGGGACACATGCTCGGCTCGTGTAGCGGAGTATATGAGAATATCATCTATATACACCACTACACCCTGTCCGTGCAGGTCCCTGAAAATCTCATCTACAAAGGATTGGAAGAATGATGGAGCGTTCATCAACCCGTATGCATGACGAGGTACTCATAGTGCCCAGGTGTGGCACTAAATGCCGTCTTCCACTCATCTCCCTCCCGGATACGCACCAGGTTGTACGCGCTCCTGAGATCCAATTTTGTGAAGAAGCGCGCCCCGTGCAATGACTCCGTCATACTAGCAATGAGCGGTAGTGGATAACTATACTTGACAGTGATCTGATTGAGATCCCGGTAGTCAATGCACGGGTGTAAACCTCCATCCTTCTTCTTCACAAAAAAGAAACTCGAGGAGACAGGTGAAGTGGATGGCCGAATGTATCCCTGCCCCAGAGATTCGGAGACATATGTTTCCATAGCCGCCGTCTCTTCCTGTGACAGGGGATACACGTGACTCCAGGGAAGTGCAGCACCTACCTGGAGATTTATCGCACAATCCCCCTGTCGATGGGGTGGTAATTGAGTCGCCTTCTTGAAGGCGAGAGCGAGAGCCAAATCGGCATATTCGGGGGGAATGTGCATGGTGGAGCCCTGGTTTGGACTTTCCACCGTAGTTGCCCCTATGGAAACACCTACACACCTCCCCGAGCACTGACTAGACCATCCCTTGAGAGCCCTCTGTTGCCATGAAATCGTGGGGTCATGAGAAGTTAACCAGGGAAGCCCCAACACCACTGGAAATGCAAGAGAATCAATCAGATACAGACTAATTTTCTCCTCATGACCCTCCTGCGTCTTCAACCAGAGTGGAGCTGTGACCTCCCTAATCAGGCCTGACCCTAAAGGGCGACTATCTAAGGCATGTACAGGGAAGGGCACATCAACAGGAACAATAGGAATCCCTAAACTACGGGAAAACTGACAATCAATAAAGTTCCCAGCTGCGCCTCAATCTACGAGTGCCTTATGCTGGGAATGAGGGGAAAACTCTGGAAATACGATATCAATACACATATGCACAGGGAGCTCTGGGTGTGTCGGGTGCCTACTCACCTGAGACGGTCCACCAGTGCTCTGCCTACTGCCTCGACTCCCTAAAGACCCTCCCCAGCACGGACCAGTATTGTGTCCTCTGCGGCCACAGTTGGTGCAGGAGATGGCCCTTCTTCCGGTCTCCCTAAGCGCAGCACCTCCGAGCTCCATAGGGGTAGGGTCGGAGGTGCTGGGGGATGGAATGGGCGGCCCCTGATCCGGACTTCCGCGGGTTGCCAACAGGTTATCCAGCCTTATCGACATATCCACCAGTTGGTCCAGGGTAAGGGTGGTGTCCCTGCAGGCCAGTTCCCGACGAACGTCCTCCCGTAGGCTGCATCGGTAGTGGTCGATCAGGGCCCTCTCATTCTATCCTGCGCTGGCAGCCAGAGTCCTGAAGTCCAGTGAAAGTCCTGTGCACTCCTCTTCCCCTGTCTGAGGTGGAATAGACATTCCCCGCCGCTCTCCCCTCCGGTGGATGATCGAATACCGCCCGATAGCGGCGGGTGAAATCCTCATAGCGTACTGACGCTGCGTCTATTCCTCCCCACTCTGCGTTGGCCCACTCGAGCGCTCTCCCCGACAGACAGAAGATGAGGGCGGACACGCTCTCGTATCCCGAGGGAGCCGGGTGGATGGTAGCCAGGTAGAGCTCTACCTGGAGCAGAAAACCCTGGCACCCGGCAGCTGTATCATAGTATGCCCTCGGGAGCGAGAGCCGAATCCCACTGGACCCAGGTGACGAAGGGGTGGACAGCGGTGTGGGTGGTTGTGTAGTTGGAGGAGGTGTAGGATAACCACCTCTCTCCCATCGCTCCATAGTGTTCAACACGCGCTCCTTTGCGGTGCCGAGAGTCTGGATCATGGTTGCCTGCTGTTGGACACGTTCCTCCATTGATCCGGACGAAATGAATGTACCTGCTGACACCATTTATGGTGCGTGTTCCTGTCAGGAGGTCAGTGTGATGCAGTAGGACGAAGTCAGGCGCAGGACACAGAGCTAATCGATAAACATACTTTACTCGTAGGTAATGTAAATAACATAACCTCCACACAGGGAGGAACAAACCCGCTCACCAGATGACAACCAAACATGAACAAACACGCACAAAACACAGTGGGAGCCAGAGGGTTAAATAGGGAAGAAATCAATACATAATGTGAACCAGGTGTGAACAATCAAGACAAAACAAGTAGAACACAGAAACATAGATCGGTAGCAGCTAGTACTCCGGCGACGACGAACGCCGAAGCCTGCCCGAGCAAGGAGGAGGGGCAGCCTCGGCTGAATCCGTGACACATTGAGCATGTTTGGGATGCTACGGATCGACGTGTACAACAGCGTGTTCCAGTTCCCGCCAATATCCAGCATCTTCGCACAGCCATTGAAGAGGAGTGGGACAACATTCCACAGGCCGCAATCAACAGCCTGATCAACTCTATGCGAAGGAGATGTGCCGCGCTGCATGAGGCAAATGGTGGTCACACCAGATACTGACTGGTTTTCTGATCCATGCCCCTGCCTTTTCTTTTGGTTAAAAGGTACTGTATCTATGACCAAGAGATGCATATCTGTATTCCCATTCATGTGAAATCCATAGATTAGGCCCTAATGAATTTATTTCAATTGACTGATACTTACATGAACTGTAACTCAGTAAAATCTTTGAAATTGTTGCATGTTGCATGTATATTTTTGTTCAGTGTAGTTCACCTCTGCTAGAAAACAGGAAAGAGAGGATTCCGGAAGCAAGGAAGGCAGATCGAACCCAGCCCTGTGGAGTGGCCGGGGCCTGGTTGAGTCAGGCTGACAGTGTGACACCCCCAGAGACCATGACAAAGAACATGAACAAACACACTGGGCCGTGCAGAGAGAAACCACTGAGGAGCAGGCCAGGGGAATACAGGGGAAGTCAATGTGAAAGGCCACACCGTGTGTCTGTCAGATTATACAACAGCAGTGACACTGGGTGAATAACCTCTCACACAGCCACAGAATCCTGGAAATCACTTTCAATGGACACACACTGACCCATCATACAGACTAAAATATATTTCAGTAAAATGGACATAAACCATAAAACATGTCTTAAAATATGATTTATTACATATGAATTGATATGAAATAAAATAATGTTCACAGAGACAGTTATTTACATGGCTCTTGAATAATCATGCTTTTAAATGCTGATTAGTTATCTGTGGTAGCATGAAAAAGCAGGCAAGCATCCCAACATTGAGTGAAGAGGATTTCACAATAGACTAGTTCCTCAGTAAAGCTTAGTTCTCAGACTGCAAGGCCTGTTGCTAAGGAAGTGCCCAGGCAGGTCTGTCCAGAACATTCAGCAAATTCATCAACTTCAGAGCAGGAAACAGACATTCTGCACAAGGTCACCTTTTCACACAAACATCCCCCTCCTCCCACCCGCACACATTTAGATTTATATTAAATATCATATATCAACTCTAGGATTGCTGTCCCTGAACCAACCCTGTGAGTTGTCTAATGCATTGACTTTTTCCTAAGTTAAATCATGGTAAAATATTTAACAAAGAAGCTCAGCTACGGCCCTGTGGGACTAACAAAGAGCTAATGCAGTTTCCACTGTTGTAATAGTATGGAAAGCCGTTTTAACATACACTCAGTGGCCAGTTCACAAAAATGGTTCGCTCCTACAGACAGTGAGTCACATGGCCATGGCTTGCTATATAAAGCAGGCATCGAGGCATTCTGTTGCTTTTTGATTGAACGTTAGAATGGGCAAAATTAGTGACCTAAGCGACTTTCAGCGTGGTATGATCGTCGTTGCCAGGCGCGCCGGATCCAGTATCTCAGAAATGTCTGGCCTCCTGGGCTTTTCATGCACCACTGTGTCTAGGGTTTACCAAGAATGGTGCGCCGAACAAAAAGACATCCAGTCAGCGGCAGTCCTGTGGGCGGAAACAGCTTGTTGATGAGAGGCCGAAGGAGAATGGCAAGAATCGTGCAAGCTAACAGGCGGGCCACAAACAGGCAAATAACAGCGCAGTACAACAGTGGTGTGCAGAACGGCATCTCGGAACACACAACTCGTCGATCCTTGTCACGGATGGGCTATTGCAGCAGACGACCAACACCAGGTTTCACTCCTATCAACTAAAAATAAGAAAAAGCAGCTCCAGTGGGCACGCGATCACCAACACTGGACAATTGAGGAGTGGAAAAACATTGCCTGGCCCAACAAATCCCGGTTCCTGTTGAGCAATGGCCCCATCCTGCCTGGCGTCAACGGTACAGGCTGGTGGTGGTGGTGTAATGGTGTGGGGATTGTTTTCCTGGCACACGTTAGGTCCCTTGATACCAATTGAGCAACGTTTCCATGCCTCAAAGAATTCAAGCTGTTCTGAAGACAAAGGGGGGTCCGACTCAGTACTAGATAGGTGTACCTAATAAACTGGCCACAGTGTATATTCATTAAAAAATATATATCAATAATTGTATTTTTTATATCAATAATGGGATTTTCTATATCAATAATTACACTTATTTATTTGAAATTAATTAGGAAAATATTCAATCATTTTTCTTTCACTTTGAAAATGTGGAGTAGGTTGTGTACATCAGTAGGAAAAATGTCAAATGTAATCAATCTTTAGATGTCATTTTAAGGCAGCAAAATGGGAAGACTGTGCAAGGGGTGTGTAGACTTCCACTAGGCACTGTATGTATGAGCATGCAAATGTAATCCCGCCCCCATGAAATGCATTATAATAATACATAAATAAATAAATATATATAAATGCAATTACAGATATCAAAATATCGATAATTGAATTTGGTATATCCAAAAAATATAATTAAATATTTTTTTTATATCAAATAATTTATTCTTATTATTTTGTAATTATAAAAATACAATTATTTATGTAAAAATCCAATTAATATATGTTAAAACAGCTTTCCCTAGTAATAGTCACAGCAGATGGGTTTATTCTTAAACACTATGTGGTTAAATGGTGGTAGAGTGAATCGGACCGTCTCCCCTCAATTAACCTCAAAATGGTTACTATTGTGCAATAGAGCTGTAACAAATACATTCTAATAAAATTGCATAACAGTGCTTAAACCAACAGCTGGGGCTGTGTGTGTTTTAGATGTAGCAGCCCAGGAACAGAGAACAACGTTTCTCTGGACTTTTAGTAGAGAATACTGCAGAATTTAGAGGTTCTTTCAGCATTATTGAATTTGCCTGTGTTCTGATCTTTGGGTTTAGGAAGCCAAAGTTCATCAGGCTCAGAAAAGCTTTGGCTGGATCTGGAAGTTGTGTTTGTTTAGTGTACAAGTTAGTAGTTCCCGAGGGAGCCATTTTGCCACACTACTACAAAGCTGCTTCTCTTTTAGCTTTAGGACAGGGCTGACCTAGAAATAGCTGCCTGCTAGGATTCCAAACACAACAGGTTAACATGCTCTTAAATCCCTGTCCAGAGAATAATCTGTGCACTGTCAACATGCACTCTGTCCCTGTAGATACAACAATTGGAAACCTGAAAACCTCGGTTTTGTGGAGAGTGATGATAGAGGTTTGACGCACGCATGCACACACACATGCACACACAAACGCACACACGACAAAGCATCAAGGACATATTCACGGACATGTAATCCTAATCCACATGTATAGATAGATGAACTGACTATGATCCAGAGAGAAGGGGAATGACAGATGTGTTAGCAGGACAAATCCACAGAATCATAAACACAGAAAATCAACATCACAACAGTGATGTGGCCTTGCTTAGAGGGCAGGGTTCACACAGTTTCAGTGGAATACAGGATATCCATATGAATGCTCTAAAAAAGATTACTTGTCTTGAAGATGTAGTTCCCAGGCCATTTTCTTTCCCCCTTCGATTAAGACCGAGAGCTTGATTATGTTGATGCTGAATGTTGCTGCTTTTAGAATCTCCATGTAATGCATGCATCAAAGCACTGTCACACTTCACTGCATTGGCTAGACGACACTTTAAATGTTTCTATGGAGAGAAAGCTGAACTCTGCATTTGTTCTGGAAATAACTAAAAGGAGGAAATGGTCCAGACAGTGATCAGTTACAGCCTGTAGAGATCCTGCCAGGCCCACCTGGACACACGCATTAACCGGGATGGGATGCAATGAACAAAACGGAGTCCACCAATTCCTTTCAATTGACAACCAGAATTCAGATAAAATCTGTTAAAACAAGACACAAATGTTAATAGATTATCCGAAGACAGGGCTAATATTCCCTTTATTTTAGACATTATGGTCCAGGAATAATAATTTTAGTAGCACAGCAAAGCACAGTAGCACAGTGACAGTAGCACAGTGACAGTCTCTCTGTCACCTCTGACTGCATGTTTATAGATTAGAAGAGATATGGCCCCTTCTAAAATTCTAAAATTAGAATAAAAACAACGGCAGAAATGCGTGTGAAGCTGTTAAGGGTTTTGGACACTTTCTGCCTCCACTAAATGGATTCTCATCCTGATCGTGTGATCACTGGGGAGACAGCCGTCAACTAACCGAGAGGAAACAAGTGTTACAATGGCTTTTACCATCCAGCATGTATGGAATGTATAAACAGAAAGCTATACAATAACAAATCTACTTTACTAATCCTCAGCCTACAAAGAGTTGCACTTCAATCCCACTACTGCAAAGGGGTATTTTCATCCCTCACAGCTAACCCAGGAAGGGCTGGGTTGGGTGGAGTGGATCTTTCAGTACTGCATACACTTCATTTCAGCACATCTGGTTTCTCTCTGATTGAGCTTCACCCATCAGGTTGAAAAGAAACAGGCCTGAAAACGTGGCACCTGCAATGGGGCGGGGTCACTGCGGCCCTGGAAGAAGCTGACTGGGTGTTTTGGCAGATCAGAGTGTGAGCCAAACAAACATCAGCACATTCTGGCACATCTGAAGTGCCCTGTTGAAGTGGGAGGGAGGCCGACCACAGGCCCAGAAGGAGTAGTCAGGCCCACCAGCTCTGCTCTGCTCAGATCTGTTATGGGACAGCCTAAAATTAGCACCAGCCATTGAGCAGTGTAGGTCAGAACTCAGCTGCCCAGCCCAGCACACCTACTAATCAGCGTGTTGAAATAGCTCAGGGTGGTCACAGTAATGCTCTGTATAACAGAATATCAAGGTTCAATAATTGCTCCAGTCTGTGACCTACAGGATACACACTCGCGCACACACACACACACACACAATTCAACCCATACAGATGATGCACTCACATGAGACAGTCTAAGAGTTGGACACACAGAAGGCCAGGTTTAGAGGCTTTTCCTCTTAGCACTGTGGACAACCAGGTAATGGGAGCAAAGACCACAAACTACACATGATTCTTCGCTATAATTGTGCTTTCAGAGCAATGTCAAGAAAAGTCGTTTAGCTTCCAGGAGGAATCTTCTTAAGGACTCATGCTTGTGGATATGCGTATTTGTTCTTTTTTTGTTTTGTTGGTATTTTACCCCCTTTTTCGTGGTATCCAATTGGTAGTTACAGTCTTGTCCCATCGCTGCAACTCCCGTACGGACACGGGAGAGGCGAAGGTCGAGAGTTGTGCGTCCTCCGAAACACAACCCAACTGAGCCGCACTGCTTCTTGACACAGTGCCCGCTTAACCCGGAAGCCAGCCGTACCAATGTGTCGGAGGAAACACTGTACACCTGGCGACCGAGTCAGCGTGCACTGCGCCCGGTGGGACAAGAACATCCCTGCCGGCCAAACCCTACCCTGGACGACGCTGGGCCAATTGTGCGCCGCCCCATGGGTCTCCCGGTCGTGGCCGGCTGCAACAGAGCCTGGACTCGAACCAAGATCTCTAGTGGCACAGCTAGCACTGCGATGCAGTGCCTTAGACCACTGCGCCACTCGGGAGGCCCCCTTGCGTATTTGTTCTACAGTACATCTTGTTAAAGTAAATACATGAAATATTACAGTGTGCCAGAAGTGACATCCACAAACGAACATGGCCCAGGCTGTTTGTGCAGAGGTGCGCTCATACAGCACTTTACATTTCATTAGCTGTGTTCCCCCATACCCCACAAGCAGCTGAGACATTCCATAAACAATTGGCTTGCCAGCCAGCAGTACAGAGGGCCCTTTGAATAGTACCTGGAAGGGAACTAAGACCAGGGGACCAGACGGACGACGGAGCACGAGGGAGGATTAGAGAGAAGAGGGAGACCTGGAGGGAGGGCCAAAAGCTCAAACATTTCTCATGCCTTTTTACCATTATCTGTAAGAAAATATATGGATATGGAAAACTGCCTTGGGTAGACACAAATACTTTCAGACTTGGTAGTAGTAGGCCGACTGCACTTACAGAGAGACTGTACATGTTCTGTTAGATCTGACAGTATTTCTCATGTTTCAGAGTTGAGGGTTGAAATAGCGCCAAGTAGACCCAACCGTTTACCCCTATGCTGGTGTAACGAACTGGACACGGCCTACTTATTTGAGAGATATGAATGGTGTGTTTGTCCCTTTGCTCCATCTGACTGCAGCTGGCAGGGCCCTGGTCTGCTGCTATGATCCCCTGCCAGCTCTCCAGGCACACTCCATTCTGCACCATTTTACCAAGTCAACTACCCGGGAGGACAGGTGACACTAAACACAGAGCTCACTCAGGGTGCACAAGAGCTCTTTCCCTTTTCTGTGCTGGCCCCACTTCATCCAAATTGTTGGACAATTTTCTTGTATATAAACTCAAGGGGAGGGAGAGGTCAAATAATGTTTGCTTCCTTAACCACTAAAATCTCAGAATGTTGACATTCAGGTACAAAAAACAGTGTGAGCTTCATCAGGAGCTCTGAAAGATTCATGATTGGACCGTAAACCTGGAGGGTGGGCCACCACCACCTCTCTGATTCCTCCTGTGGTTGCAAATACAGCCCTGGACTGAGGCCAGACACACAGACAGATAGGAACACTATAAGACAGACTGAGTGAAAGATTGTCATTAGTGTCAAATGAGACATACAGACCTGTCTAACTGATATTAAGCGGAGGCTACTCTTGGCCTGGCACTGGTTCACTCAATGTGCAGACATTCTAACAACACAAGCCCCAGTAGCCCTTCTTTTAATGCACTCATGATTAGCCATGAGTCAGTTGTATGGCAACCCCAGTCATTCTCTGAGCCATACAGTAAGAAAAAGTCCTGGCCACTGGCATATGTCTATGTTATAGTGATAACTATTCTACAATGGACCCTGGGACTAAACACCTCGCTCTGCAACTGGATCCTGGACTTCCTGACGGGTCGCCCCCAGGTGGTAAGAGTAGGTAAAAGCACATCTGCCACGCTGATCCTCAACATGGGGGCCCCTCAGGGGTGCGTGCTCAGTCCCCTCCTGTACTCCTTGTTCACACATGACTGCATTGCCAAGCACAACTCCAACACCCTCATTAAGTTTGCCGACAACACAACAGTAGTAGGCCTGATCACCGACAACGATGAGACAACCTATAGGGAGGAAGTCAGAAACCTGGCAGTGAGGTGCCAGGATAACAACTTCTCCCTCAACGTGATCAAGACAAAGGAGATGATCGTGGACTACAGGAAAAGGAGGGCTGAGCATGCCCCCATTCTCATCGACGGGGCTGTAGTGGAGAAGGTTGAGAGCTTCAAGTTCCTTGGTGTCCACATCACCAATGAACTGTCATGGTTCAAACACACCAAGACAGTCGTGAAGAGGGCACAACAACGCCTATTCCCCCTCAGGAGACTGAAAAGATTTGGCATGGGTCCTCAGATCCTCAAAAAGTTATACAGCTGCACCATCGAGAGCATCCTCACTGGTTGCATCACCGCCTCGTATGGCAACTTCTCGGCCTACGACCGCAAGTCACTACAGAGGGTAGTGCGTACGACCCAATACATCACTGGGGCCAAGCTTCCTGCCATCCAGGACCTCTATACAAAGTGGTGTCAGACGAAGGCCCTAAAAATTGCCAAAGAGTCCAGCCCCGTAGTCATAGATGGTTCTCTCTGCTACCACACAGCAAGCGGTACCGGAGCGCCAAGTCTAGGTCCAAAAGGCTTGTTAAAAGCTTCTACCCCCAGCTAACCAAATGGTTACCGGAATATTTGCATTTACACCCCCCGTCCCCCTGTCCCCGTCAAATGTTTGGACACACCTACTCATTCAAGGGTTTTTCTATATTTTTACATTGTAGAATAATAGTGAAGACAAAACTATGAAATAACACATGGAATGATGTAGTAACCAAAAAAGTGTTAAACAAATCAAAATATATTTGAGATTTGAGATTCTTCAAATAGCCACTCTTTGCATTGATGACAGCTTTGCACACTCTTGGCATTCTCTCAACCAGCTTCTTGAGTTATTCACCTAGAATGCATTTCAATTAACAGGTGTGCCTTCTTAAAAGTTAATTTGTGGAATTTCTTTCCTTCTTAATGCGTTTGAGCCAATCAGTTTTGCTGTGACAAGGTCTGGAAGACTAGTCAGGATTGAGGCGAAGATGAACGGAGCAAAGTACAGAGAGATCCTTGAAGAAAACCTGCTCCAGAGAGCTCAGGACCTCAGGCTGGGGCGAAGGTTCACCTTCCAACAAGACAATGACCCTAAGCACACAGCCAAGACAATGCAGGAGTGGCTTCGGGACAAGTCTCTGAATGTCCTTGAGTGGCCCAGCCAGAGCCCGGACTTTAACCCGATCAAACATCTCTGGAGAGACCTGGAAATAGCTGTGCAGCAACGCTCCCCATCCAACCTGACAGAGCTTGAGAGGATCTGCAGCGAAGAATGGGAGAAAATCTCCAAATACAGCTGTGCCAAGCTTGTAGTGTCATACCCAAGAAGACTTGAGGCTGTAATCTCTGCCAAAGGTGCTTCAACAAAGTATTGAGTAAAGGGTCTGAATACTTACACTACCAGTCAAAAGTTTGGACACACCTACACATTCAAGGGTTTTTCTTTATTTTTACTATTTTATACATTGTAGAATAATAGTGAAGACATCAAAACTATTAAATAACACATATGGAATCATGTAGTAACCAAAAAAGTGTTAAACAAATCAAAATAGATTATTCAAATAGCCACCCTTTGCCTTGATGACAGCTTTGCACACTCTTGGCATTCTCTCAACCAGCTTCATGAGGTAGTCACCTGGAATGCATTTCAATTAACAGGTGTGCCTTCTTAAAAGTTAATTTGTGGAATTTCTTTCCTTCTTAATGTGTTTGAGCCAATCAGTTGTAATAATAATAAATAATAATAAGTTGTGTTGTGACAAGGTAGGTGGGGTATACAGAAGATAGGGCTATTTGGTAAAAGACCAAATCCATATTATGGCAAGAACAGCTCAAATAATTAAAGAGAAACGACAGTCCATCATTACGTTAAGACATGAAGGTCAGTCAATAGGGAACATTTCAAGAACTTCAATTTCAAGTGCAGTCGCAAAAACCATCAAGCACTATGATGAAACTGGCTCTAATGAGGACCGCCACAGGAATGGAAGACCCAGGGTTACCTCTGCTGCAGAGGATAAGTTCATTAGAGTTACCAGCCTCAGAAATTGCAGCCAAAATAAATGCTTCACAGAGTTCAAGTCACAGACACATCTCAACATCAACTGTTCAAAGGGGACTGTGTGCATCAGGCCTTCATGGTCGAATTGCTGCAAAGAAACCACTACTAAAAGGACACCAATAAGAAGAAGAGACCTGCTTGGGCCAAGAAACACGAGCAATGGACATTAGACTGGTGTAAATTTGTCCATTAGTCTGGAGTCCAAATTGGAGATTTTTGGTTCCAACCGCCGTGTCTTTGTGAGACGCGATGTGGGTAAATGGATGATCTCCGCATGTGTAGTTCCCACCGTAAAGCATGGAGGAGGAGGTGTTATGGTGTGGGGGTGATTTGCTGGTGACACTGTCAGTGATTTATTTAGAATTCAAGGCACACTTAACCAGCATGGCTACCACAGCATTCTGCAGCGATACGCTATCCCATCTGGTTTGCGCTTAGTGGGACTACCATTTGTTTTTCAACAGGACATTGACCCAACACACCTCCAGGCTGTGTAAGGGCTATTTGACCAAGAAGGAGAGTGATGGAGTGCTGCATCAGATGGCCTGGCCTCCACAATCACCCGACCTCAACCCAATTGAGATGGTTTGGGATGAGTTGGACGGCAGAGTGAAGGAAAAGCAGCCAACAAGTGCTCAGCATATGTTGGAACTCCAGGGGAAGCTGGTTGAGAGAATGCCAAGAGTGTGCAAAGCTGTCATCAAGGCAAAAAGTGGATATTTGAAGAACCTCAAATATAAAATATATTTTGATTTGTTTAACACTTTTTTGGTTACTACATACTACATATGTGTTACAGTGGCTTGCGAAAGTATTAACCCCCCTTGGCATTTTTCCTATTTTGTTGCCTTACAACCTGGAATTAAAATTGATTTTTGGGGGGGTTGTATCATTTGATTTACACAACATGCCTACCACTTTGAAGATGCAAAATATATTTTTATTGTGAAACAAACAAGAAATAAGACAAAAAAACAGAAAACTTGAGCGTGCATAACTATTCACCCCCCCCCCCCCCCCCCAAAGTCAATACTTTGTAGAGCCACCTTTGGCAGCAATTACAGCTGCAAGTCTCTTGGGGTATGTCTCTATGAGCTTGGCACATCTAGCCACTGGGATTTTTGCCCATTCTTCAAGGCAAAACTGCTCCAGCTCCTTCAAGTTGGATGGGTTCTGCTGGTGTACAGCAATCTTTAAGTCATTCCACAGATTCTCAATTGGATTGAGGTCTGGGCTTTGACTAGGCCATTCCAAGACATTTAAATGTTTCCCCTTAAACCACTAGAGTGTTGCTTTAGCAATATGCTTAGGGTCATTGTCCTGCTGGAAGGTGAACCTCCGTCCCAGTCTCAAATCTCTGGAAGACTGAAACAGGTTTCCCTCAATAATTTCCCTTTATTTAGCACCATCCATCATTCCTTCAATTCTGACCAGTTTCCCAGTCCCTGCCGATGAAAAACATCCCCACAGCATGATGCTGCCACCACCACCATGCTTCACTGTGGGGATGGTGTTCTCGGGATGATGAGAGGTGTTGGGTTTGCGCCAGACATAGCGTTTTCCTTGATGGCCAAAAAGCTCAATTTTAGTCTCATCTGACCAGAGTACCTTTTTCCATATGTTTGGGGAGTCTCCCACATGCCTTTTGGCAAACACCAAACGTGTTTGCTTATTTTTTTCTATAAGCAATGGCTTTTTTCTGGTCACTCTTCCGTAAAGCCCAGCTCTGTGGAGTGTACGACTTAAAGTGGTCCTATGGACAGATACTCCAATCTCTGCTGTGGACCTTTGCAGCTCCTTCAGGGTTATCTTTGGTCTCTTTGTTGCCTCTCTGATTAATGCCATCCTTGCCTGGTCGGTGAGTTTTGGTGGGAGGCCCTCTCTTGGCAGGTTTGTTGTGGGTCCATATTCTTTCTATTTTTTAATAATGGATTTAATGGTGCTCCGTGGGATTTTCAAAGTTTCTGATTTTTTTTATAACCCAACCCTGATCTGTACTTCTCCACAA